ATGAAAAAAAAAGTCTGTGGCTACCTTATGTTTACTTAGGCACACCACTACCTGCCACTCATTCACTTCAGGGGTTCAGATGGGGTGCAGTGGATGTTTAGAGGCACAACCTGACAACTGCAGTCAGAGCGGGGCGACGGCCACATAGAACCTGTGTTAGTGAGGACTCTTGGTCTGTGCGGTGATCCATAACGACCGGTGCTGACTCAGTACTGTGCTGCCCAGCCTCTGCAGGAATGGGAACAGTATGTTGTAAGACACTCATCCATCCATTCAAGCAAGGCCTCTGGAACTAACCATCCTCCTGCCTCGGCCTCCTACTCTTGAGGCAATAGCTACCAGGCCTGTGTTTGGCATGGAGCTAAATATGCTGGGTGTGGTGTAGATGTCTATGATCCAAGCACTTCAAAGGTGGAGAGAAGAGAATCGGCTATAGACAGTTTGGGGCTAGCCTAGGGTACATAGGACCCTATCTCAAAAAAGAAAAAAACAAAACAAAAAACAAATGACCCACGAGACAAAAACAAAACAAAAAATCCTTTAGTGAACTTGAATAACAATGGCTATTGTCAGTGGTTTCTTCCTTTCTTTAAAAAGATTTATTTATTCATGTATTTCATGTATATGGCATAACCTGTCTTCATACACACCAGAAGAAGGAATCAGATCCCATTACAGATAGTTGTGAGCCACTATGTGGTTGCTGGGAACTGAACTCAGGTCCTCTGGAAGAACAGCCAGTGCTCTTAACTGTTGAGCCACCTCTCCGGCCAAGTGGTTTCTTTAAAGAATAAAAAGAGTTGGTGGTTCAGCAAACATTTGCCAAGAGAGGTATGGCTTTTTTACTTAGAGGCAAATTCTGATACATTAAGCACACATCAATCTGTTAGTTTAAATCTATAATCTCTAAATGAGATTTTTTAAAAATTAATTTTAGTAAGCATATGCAATATGGGTATTGTTACACTTCCATATATATATATATCATTGTATAAAGGAGACCTTTCAAGGACAGGATATAGTTGTCATTTTTTTGTTTTGTTTTGTTTTTTTTTTTGTTTTGTTTTTCGAGACAGGGTTTCTCTGTGGCTTTGGAGGCTGTCCTGGAACTCACTCTGTAGACCAGGCTGGCCTCGAACTCACAGAGATCCGCCTGCCTCTGCCTCCCGAGTGTTGGGATTAAAGGCGTGCGCCACCAACGCCCGGCTAGTTGTCATTTTCTTAATAACTTCATTATAGTATTCATAATGAAGCACTCAATTTTTAGGAAACTAAAATCACTAGCAGAGAAAGGTAGATCCAGCAAGATGCCAGGGTGCACAAAATGTAACACTTCAGAGCCTGTGGCAGAAGGATTATGAACTCAAGACCACCTTGGGGAGACTATAGTGGCATATATGTTTAATTCCAGCACTAAGGAGGCAGAGGTAAGAGGATCTCTATGAATTCAAGGCCAGCCTGGTCTACAGATTGAGTTCTAGACCAGCCAGGGTAACAGAGTGGGACAGTCTCAAACTAAACCAAACCAGAACAGTGACTAAAACAGCACATACATTAAAGTGTCTAGCCAGGTGCTGGTGGTGCATACACAGATCCCAGCACTCTGGAGGCAGAGGCAGGTAGATCTCTGAGTTCGAGGCCAGCCTGTTCCACAGAGTGAGTTCCAAGACAGTCAGGAATACACAGAGAAAGCCCGTCTTGAAAAACCAGTGGGGGGGGGGGGGGGGAAGTAAAAATGCAATGTCTAGGAAGGTTCCCAAGGTGTATCAAGTGCTTAGCAATATCAGATAAATTTGAGTAGAGGATTTCAATTGGAGAAAAATGAGGGCTCTGAGATAGTTATTTATTATATTAGCACTCACATATCCTAGATGTCAGACATGGCACTGGAATGATTTTCACTGTCAACCTAAAAAAAAATCCTGGGCTGATAAGACAGATAACTCACAGGGTAAAGTCATTAGCTGCCAAACCTGATGATCTGAGTTTGATCCTGAGACTTACACAGTGGAAGGAGAGAGCTGACACCCACAGGCTATCTTCTGCCTCCATGTGGTGCCTGAGTGCCTGTCCACACCCTAAACGTAACAAACCTTCACAACTAAACTCTCCAATAGTCAATTTAGTGGGATTCTTGCTGGTTGAACTGTAGTCCCCCAATTTTGGCTAGCTGGAATGATGGGGTAAACATGGCTTATGGCAATGCACAAGTAACACCCAGGACATAGAAAAGCAATGAAATCCTAAAGACATACACCACTCGCCTTTGCTGTCATTCAAACAAGTCTCTTTGGTGATGAGGGATGGCTGCATAAGGCGAGTTTAATGCAAAGGTTGCTTCAGCTCTTGAAACATCGAGACCATGTCTGTATAAAGTTAAGGCATACGTAGGGAAAAACACACTGTTGGCAAACACACTTCCCAGTCCCACCAGTGGTCTCTGCTATGGAAACTTACTCTCTTGTAATGACCACTGTGCTTTACGGCCACGTGTTAACAAACAAATCCCTGGGAAGGGTGGTGTGGTATGGGATTAACACTAGCACTTGGGAGGCAAGAGGATGACTATTAGTCTGCACTACATATTACGTTCAGGACCAACTTGGGTTATATAGCAAGACCCTTTTCAAAACAAACAAACCACAAAACTGTAAATATAACACAACTTCACAAGGAAAAGATCCCAAGGTGTGAGGAACTGGTTAATTTTAATTTCTGTAGCTTTTCCCATCAAAGAGGGAGGTAAAACTCACAGAAAGTATTATATGCAAATTTAGATAATAAAATTCCACAGAAAAATAGCATTTGAATTTGTCTTAGAGTTATAACTCAGAAATAGGAATTTTAAACTGGAGCTATCGGCTACTCCTAAATGATTTTATAATTGACTTTAAATGAAGATTCCTCATTCCCTTGGAACATACAAAAGCCTGACCATTTCCTCCTGCACTTCCAATGCGTCTGCAAGGAACTCTCCCCTATAAGGAACTCTCCCCTATAAGGAACTCTCCCCTATAAGGAACTCTCCCCTATAAGGAACTCTCCACTATAAGGAATTCTCTACTATAAGGAACTCTCCACTATAAGGAACTCTTCCCTATAAGGAACTCTCCACTATAAGGAACTCTCCCCTATAAGAAACTCTCCACTATAAGGAACTCTCCACTATAAGAAACTCTCCACTATAAGGAACTCTCCCCTATAAGGAACTCTCCACTATAAGGAACTCTCTACTATAAGGAACTCTCCACTATAAGGAATTCTCTACTATAAGGAACTCTCCACTATAAGGAACTTACCCCTATAAGGAACTCTCCACTATAAGGAACTCTCCCCTATAAGGAACTCTCCACTATAAGGAACTTACCCCTATAAGGAACTCTCCACTATAAGGAATTCTCTACTATAAGGAACTCTCCCCTATAAGAAACTCTCCCCTATAAGGAACTCTCCCCTATAAGGAACTCTCCACTATAAGGAATTCTCTACTATAAGGAACTCTCCACTATAAGGAACTCTCCACTATAAGGAATTCTCCACTATAAGGAACTCTCCACTATAAGAAACTCTCCACTATAAGGAACTCTCCCCTATAAGGAACTCTCCACTATAAGGAACTCTCTACTATAAGGAACTCTCCACTATAAGGAATTCTCTACTATAAGGAACTCTCCACTATAAGGAACTCTCCACTATAAGGAACTCTCCACTATAAGGAACTCTCCCCTATAAGGAACTCTCCACTATAAGGAACTTACCCCTACAAGGAACTCTCCACTATAAGGAATTCTCTACTATAAGGAACTCTCCCCTATAAGAAACTCTCCCCTATAAGGAACTCTCCCCTATAAGGAACTCTCCACTATAAGGAATTCTCTACTATAAGGAACTCTCCACTATAAGGAACTCTCCCCTATAAGAAACTCTCCACTATAAGGAACTCTCCCCTATAAGGAACTCTCCCCTATAAGGAACTCTCCCCTATAAGGAACTCTCCACTATAAAGAACTCTCCCCTATAAGGAACTCTCCCCTATAAGGAACTCTCCACTATAAGGAACTCTCCACTATAAGGAACTCTCCCCTATAAGGAACTCTCCACTATAAGGAACTCTCCACTATAAGGAACTCTCCACTATAAGGAACTCTCCACTTTAAAGAACTCTCCCCTATAAGGAACTCTCCACTATAAGGAATTCTCTACTATAAGGAACTCTCCACTATAAGGAACTCTCCCCTATAAGGAACTCTCCCCTATAAGGAACTCTCCCCTATAAGGAACTCTCCACTATAAGGAACTCTCCCCTATAAGAAACTCTCCACTATAAGGAACTCTCCACTATAAGGAACTCTCCACTATAAGGAACTCTCCACTATAAGGAACTCTCCACTATAAGGAATTCCCCCCTATAAGGAACTCTCCACTATAAGGAACTCTCCACTATAAGGAACTCTCCACTATAAGGAACTCTCCACTATGGTTCAGAGTAAAAGCCAGTTGGCAGCACCTTGCTGTCCCCTCCACACCCAGAATAGTTTAAATTTTCCTGATTATGTGCTAAAGTTTGCTCTTAAAAAAAAAATTCTGGGGCTGGAGAGTTGGCTCAGTGGTTAAGAGCACTGGCTGCTCTTCCAGAGGACCCTGGTTCAGTTCCCAGCACCCACATGGCAGCTCACAACTGTCTGTAACTCTAGTTCCAGTAGGATACAACACCTTTACACAGACATACATGCAAGTAAAACACCAATGCCCATAAAATAAAAATAAATACATTTTTTAAAAAAGTACGTTCATGGTGTCCTTGCAGTATATGAAGTTACTCAACAGGCTGGCACCACATTGGAAGTTCTGAACATTTCAACACTAGGAAGAATAAACACACCCCTCAATTCTGTGTTATGAGAAGCAGATAGAACTGTATTGTAATGAACCAAAGGCCTGAACATTAAATTATATATGAATTGAAAGAAAGAAAAACAACACAAATGAAGTCCTAGATGTAATTCTTAATAAACAATTTTACTGAAAGAAAATCCAAAGCATCTTTCAATCTACTGGTTGGTTAACAGGAGTCATCGTAGGCTTGGTTGCTGTGAGGAGACTTTAAATACACAGTGCTTTTATTTGCACTGTGAAGAATAAACAGCTGAATTATGCCTTTCTGGACAGCTAATAGGTTTTACTTACATTGCTTTGAGAGAAGACAAAAGACATCTCTTTACAATTGACTTGTAGCACCCTCAGTTTCCTGGATACCAAACCCACAAAATCTTAACTGTAACACATGAAAACATAAACACACATACATACAATATAAACGGACACACACACACACACACACACACACGCACACTAAAGTGACCTTTAAGTCTCTGAGGTGCCAATTTACAAACTGACCACCAACCAGATACAGAACTTGGACCTGCCATAGAGAAAAATCACTAGCCTGAAAAAGAAATTAAGCTACCACTATCACCATCATGGAAAAGAGTAATAATATCGTAAAACCTGTGCCTTGTAAAGATTTCTTTCCATCAGAAGGTGCAGAAACATTCCCCCCAACGGAGCAAATGAACTCGGTTCTGTTTTCTTCCCTGCTTTTCACACCCCTAGGCGCCGGTGGAGACGGCGAGTGTGGACTCTTTCCAGAGATGAGAGGTAGAAAGTTGTACTTTCTCCGGAGCCGGTGCACTTTCCCCCTTGGCCCCTCTTTTCTCTGCCTCCAAGATGGTAGGAAAGTTGTCGTTTCGGAGGGCAGAGGAACTGCTTTGTGGTGTTATGTCCTCGCAGTGCCTGTAGTGGTGCTGTAGGAGGCTGCTGTCTCTCCCAGTGCAGGCGGGCAGCCCTGCCTTCTTGGCTGGAGAGTACATTCAGGGATTTCCCCCTTAATGATCACCGACCCTGGGAACACTTTTTAGTTTCCAAAATAAAAAAATATGATCCTCACCCCTCTTGTTCGACAGGGAAAGACTCTCTCTGAAGCCCAGGGCGGGAGCAGTATCAGCCGAGCTTCCTAGTCCACTGCCAGCGTCTCTCTGATCTGTCAGCCCAGTTCGAGGGAAAAGGGGGGGGAGGAGGAAGGAGGAGGGAAAAAAAAAATCAGAAAAAAAAAAAAAAAAAGGCAGCTGAAAGGTAAGCAGAGGCGGCCCCAGGCCCGGCCCACATCCCCGGGCTCCCGTAGGGCGGCGGGCTGGGCCGCGCAGTCAGGGCGGGCGGCGAGCGCGCTTACGTGAGGCCGGGGATTTGCCGGCCCACGCCAGGCCGCGGGCGGAGAATGAAAGGGTGAGTGGGGCCGGCGCTGGGGTGGCGGGGGCCGGGGGTGGGGGGTCTGGGGGCCTCGGGGACACCCGCAGGCAGCTACGGCGGGGGTTCCGGCGGCGGACTGAGCGCGGCGAGTGGCGCGGCCTGCGCGGGCCGGGCCTGGGGAGTGCTGCGGGAGGGGGGGGGCGCCCTAGGCCTTGGGCCCCGCGGCGGCCGCGCCCTGCCCCCGCGCCACAGGCCTCCCGCGCCCCTGGGGTCCCCCGGGGCCTCGGGGCGGGCGGGCGGGCGGGAGGCGCGGCGGGCTGTATCCTGCGCCGGCCCCAGGCTCTCCCGCGGGGCGGAAGGCCGGGCGGCGGGGACCGGGGCGGCGGGGCCTTGGAGTGGAGAGTGTGCGGCAGCCCCCCGTGCCCGGGCATCGCGTAGACAGACGGGCCCGGGATTCCGGTAACTGTTGGGTTTATTTATCCCCCTCCGCGGCGCTCCGGACGGCCTGGCCGGGGCGGGGCGGGCGGCCTGGCGGGCGTGGGGTGGAGGGGCGGCGAGAAGTCAGGTGCAGCCGCGGCCCGGAAAGTTTCCTTTCAGGCCCGAATTGGGGGTTGCCTGCTCTCCGGGGAGCCCCGGTCCTAGCGCCGGGGACCCCCGAGGGCGTGGGGGAGAGCGCTCGGCTGGCTGGAAACTCTTTGCCAGTTCCTGTCCATTCAAGGTACTCCGCCCCTGCACCCCTCGCCCGCGCCCCACCCCACTCCCCTCGGTCCCCTTCGGGGCTGCCAACTCCAGCCCATTCCCCTAGAGCTCCCAGGCCCGGGGAGAAGCCTTCTCTTCCGGTTTGGAAAAGTTTTCAAGGGATTTTTTTCTTTTTTTCTCAGTGATATTAGTTCGTGCCTGGGCTTTGGGGGTGGGAAGGGAGGAGGTGGATTCAGGTGCTGTTTCTCTTGCACAGCCTTTGCCCCCCCCTTCAATCCCGAACCCCACGGAAGAGCGGTGGGGGTGTTCCTTGCTCACTTATTACCCCCACCTTTGCTCCCGGACTCCTTTGGGTCTCCGGTCCCCTTTCTGGACAGCTCCGGGCAGAAAGCTAGTAAAGTAGGAAACCAGAGAGCAAACTGTCAGGGAGAGGGGCAGGACCAGGCAGGCTTTTGGAGCAGTCCCCAGCCCACCCCACCCCCCAGTTGTAGGAGTTTTCCCCTCTGAGTTGGTCACTGTCCGCTAAAACCAACTCAGAAACTGAAGCCGTGGGGTGGGGTGGGGTGGGGGAACCGCGGCTGACAGACGTTGCAGAGAATTCAAAATTGGGAGGAAGGAACTGGAGGGCAGGGCGGCTTTTGAAGTAAGGTCTACCTGCAGTTAAAGGAGCAATGATTGGTGTGTTCTGATGGTAACTGTTTAGCTTTGTGTGTTGTCCTTAGCTGTCTGTCTAGAGTTCGGAAAATGGGGGGTCTTAAGGACATTTAAGGTTGTGATTGCTGCAGCTCAGGGGTCTGTGGAGGAGCCCGGTGAAAATGAACATAGACTTTTTGCCTTTGGCCTACCTTGTAAACGAATTCGGTTTTGGTGCCGTCAACTCTGAAACTTTCTTTTCCTTTCTCGTAGTAAACTTAATTTTCCAAATCTAGATTTCCCTCTTTTCAAGGATAGGCAGGACTACAACTGACCACCTCCTGGTTGTTTAGTGTTGAAATCGCAGTGTCCATGGCCCTGCCACCCCTAGCCCCATCGTGGGCATGTGTGTAGAGTTCATTTGACCTCTTTTATTAGTTTTTTTGTTTTGTTTTGCACTCTTCTCAGAGTTTGGGTCAGTGTGTGTGTGTGTGTGTGTGTGTGTGTGTGTGTGTGTGTGTGTGTGTGTGTGTGTGTGTTCGTTTGCATGTGCGCGCACACCCTGCTTGGTTGCAGGTTGAAGGTTGCTGGCAGAGGCAGCAACCTTCTGATCACTCAGACCGCAGAGCCGTGGTAGTGAAGAACTACCTGTCAATTGCAGAGGCTGAGGTAATCCTTGACTTGGTCAGCACCGACTTCAGTCAGGCATCACAGTGAGGCTGGCTCCTTCAGTGATTCTTACCAGGGTCTTTGCTAAAACAGAGCTGTTTTCTCACAATGTTAGGCGCTCAGTCATTTAGTCTTGTGACTAAGAAAGTCTTGATACTTGAAGATGGTATGGATTTGGTATGAAAATGCAAATTACATGTAATGATTGTTTTATCATTATTGATTAATTGGAATTGCTTATTGATTGGGGAGTTTCATGTATGTGTGGAGCAAAATCATTATTCCTGTTATGGTTCTTATTTTTAGAGCAAACTGTTATAGAAGGAAACTCATTCTGGGATATTTTAAAAGTTGAAAGAAATCTTGCTATTTTGTAATATGGTTTTTTGTTTTTTTGTGTTTTTGAGCAGGGTTTCTGTGTAGCCCTGGCTGTCCTAGAAGTTACTCTGTAGACCAGGTTGGTCTTGAACTCAGAGATCCATGTATTTAATGCTTATCATCAGCTTTATATTCTTAGTTTTAAAAATTGTACATGTACAAATACTGAAAGTTTAAGTTTTTTCCCCTCATCCTGGCCCAAACATTTTAATCCCTTTTGTATCCCACTTATGAGCTATTTTATTCCTGAGGAAATGGTAGATTTGATGTTTTGAATGTTAATTTTATTTCAAGCTAATAAGACACTTTCTGAGAACATACTGAATTGTTGTAAATTGAAAGGGACTGTCTTTCTCACTATGAGTTGTTTGGCTTAAAAAGTAGATGTTTAATTTGTAAGTCTGAAAGATTTCATAAAGAAATTTGTGTATCCCATCTCCATTGTGTTTCTGCTTTCCAGATTGCTACTATGTTTTAAATTTTATTTTATTTTATTTTTTGTGTTTGGGTGTTTTGCCTGCAGGTGTCTGTGTACCCTGTGGGTGTTGTGCCTGAGGAGGCCAGAAGAGGGTGTGAGATCCCTTGGAACTGGAGTTCCAGGTGGCTATGCAGCACCTCATGGGTGCTGAGCATGAACCCTGGGGCCTCCAGCAGAACACTCGGTGCTCTTGACTTCTGAGCCCTCAGCCTGGCTCCTGTTGCAGCTAATTTTAGAGGACTGAAAATTTTAATTTAGACCTGCAGTCTACAGTCTGAGGACTTAAACGTGTTAGTTCAACCAGTCTTTCCTTCTCTGAGATCTTCTAGGGTTAGCTCTCAGCATCTCAATTGGGAGCAGGCTTTAGTTCTGGAGGAAGACTGGCTGTTTGTGTCTGAAGACAGCTTTTTTCCACACCTAGTCCCTTGTGAAGCAGTAGGTGAGGCTGACTCAGGGCTGCACTGGATGTGCTGTAGGGTGAAGACAGCTATGTTCTAACTGCATTGGCTGGGAGCCTATCCCAGAGGCCGGGTATGATTTTGACAACGCTCCTGGCCATTTTGAGATAGGGAGAAACTTAAGTTAAAATGTTAGGCCTCCTGTATTTCCTTCTCAGACTTAAGGTGGAAGACCACTTGGTTCTAAAACTTTCACACAATGTGATTTACCTTGTTTATTTATATTTATTTTGGAGTCAGGGTCTCACAGCCTGGCACTCACTACTTAGATTAGGCTGGCCGTTGACTCACAGTGATCTTCCTGCGTGTAAGTGCTGGCCGTTGGGATGTGGGTTACCATCGCAACTGTAATTTACTCCTAAAACTAATTCTTAGCCAGGGATGGCAGTGGATGGCTGTATTCCAGGACCAAAGGACCTCAATTTCAAGGCTGGCCTGGCTACATAGTATGACGGTACTAACTACCTCCCTTCTCCATACCTGTCAGGAAAACCTACAACTTCTTTTTCTGAGATCTTTGTATCGTCATCCAGTTATACACGGTTAGGCCAGCTTTGGGCTGTGCCCTGCTCTGATCCCATATCTTCTTAATCTTTGGTTTCTTTCACAGGACAGGGAAAACAGATTCCTTGCTATAAGGATTAGATGTTCTAGACCACCCTGTGTTCTTTAGTAACGCATCTAAATAACATCTTGTTTGTTTGCTTTTTTCCTTACTAAAAATAGTACGTACTCATACTATATTTGGAGAATAGCCCTATCCATCCTACTCAGGATGATAACATTTTAGTGCCTTTCTGTTTTTGTCTTGAGTGTGCCTACAGCATAAGCATGAGCTTAGAACCCTGAAGGTAACAGTTGTGTACTTTTGTAGTGGTTAAAAGTTTGGGTTTTACCAGGTTGTGGTGGCAAACGCCTTTAATCCCAGCACTCGAGAGGCAGAGGCAGGAGGATCTGTGTGAGTTTGAGGCCAGCTTGGTCTACAGAGGGAGTTCCAGGACAGCCTCCAAAGCAATACAGAGAAATCCTATCTGGAAAAAGACATTAAAAAAATTAAAATTGGCCGGGCGTTGGTGGCGCACGCCTTTAATCCCAGCACTCGGGAGGCAGAGGCAGGCGGATCTCTGTGAGTTCGAGACTACCAAGCGAGTTCCAGGACAGCCTCCAAAGCCACAGAGAAACCCTGTCTCGAAAAACCAAAAAAATTTTTTTAAATTGATTTTATTAATCTTAGCTTCAAGCTGGGACTGTCAGTAGTTCATCAGTAATCTCTGTACTTGGGAGGCTGAGGCCGGAGGATCAAGAGTTTGATGCCAGTAGAGCTGCATAGTGAGTTTAGACCAGCCTGAGCCAGAGCGAGCCTTTGTCTGAAAGAAACAAAAACAGTCTCAGTTTCCTCATCAGTGAGAAAAGCACTGATCTTACCTGTGTCGTAAGGTTGTGGAAGATGAGGCTCTGCACTTTAGAATGGTAAAGGAGCCTGGGGGTTTGGTTTGCCCCTCCCCTTTTATTTTTTTTTTCAGTACTGTCCATTGAACCCAGGGCCTTGCAATCTCTGAAGTGACTTTGACCTTGACATCCTCCAAGGCTGACTGCCCTGAAGATTAGTGTTCCCTTTGTGGCTTTGAAGACCTGGGTAGTTTGAGGCCTTGGGAGGCTTACTCTGGAGTGACCTAAGAAGGCGACAGGTGTCATTGACTCCGGTGTTCGGTCATTCCTTTAGCGGATGAACTGTCTTGTGTTGGCTCCTATCTTGACAATACAAAAAACAGTTTTTGTTGTTAGTAGTTTTAGTTTAAAAAGAAAGACAAAAGTCTCCTGAAGGAAGTATGACCTTGAACTTCCGAACCTCCAGCATGGATATTTTAGGCATGCGCCATTATTTATGGTGTTCTGTTTATTGGTTATTGAACCTAGGACTTCTAGCATTGTTGGCGAGCTATAGCTGTAAGTAGCTCCTCCTCTCCTCTTCTGCTCCTCCCTCCTCCCCCCATCATAGAACTGTAGTCTGGAGGAGAAGAACCCTTAGAAAACTGGTATTTACAGCTTTGAATGGGTTAGCCTGGGGGAGGGAAACCTATTTTTCTGCTCTGGGAGGAATTAGGTATTTCAGGAGGTGGGACCTGCAACTATGAATAAATGCCTAGGGACAATAGAGTGTTTTGTGTTGCAAATTGTGGTTCTTCCGTGGCCTTGGACCAAGGGGAGTGTAAATGGTAAGTAGAGGCCCAAGTCTGCTGGGATAAGGAGTGTGGGTTTCTTTTAAATTTACAAGTGACCCTGAGGGTCTTTGGCCAAGAACGTTACTTAAAGCCGACTGGAGTAGCTAAAATAAAGGGGGGCCAGGCGGATGCTCCCCAGAAGACAGTGAGGAGGGTTTGAGCTGTGAGCAGAAGACAGTGAGGAGGATTTGAACTGAGCAGGAGAAGACAGTGAGGAGGATTTGAACTGAGCAGGAGAAGACAGTGAGGAGGATTTGAACTGAGCAGGAGAAGACAGTGAGGAGGATTTGAACTGAGCAGGAGACAGTGAGGAGGATTTGAACTGTGAGCAGGACAGTGAGGAGGGTTTGAACTGTGAGCAGGACAGTGAGGAGGGTTTGAACTGTGAGCAGGTAGCAGAGGTAGCTTAGAGGGTAAGGGGCCTCAGAAGTGTGGCTTTCTCGTCGGTGCATTGCAGGTGGGGTGGGAGGCTTCCTGAGAGGGTGGATTGGGTAGTGACTGTGGGAAGTGAAATGTGTACATGGACAGTTTGTGCACTGGTTTGAAATCTGGAATCAGATCCACATTAGAAATGGCAATGACGGCTCTGGAAATGCCTGTGTAGCTTACACCATGTGTGTAACTTAGTGACTTTACAGATGGAACAGATTATACAATACCTCGGTCTTGAATGATTAGAAATTTCAAGCAGGTGCTGACCTGCAAATATTAAATTTTGTGAGAAATCTTAAATCCTGAAAACTTGGAAGCTCTGGGTGTAGGACTGGATTTCAATTTAGTTTCTTTGTTGAGCTCAGGTGGCCTTGAACTTGTAGCCACCTTCCCACCCAGCTTCTGTTGCCTTTTTGAGACAGTATCTCACACTAGTCCAGCTGACCCGGAATTCACAGACTTGAATTCCTCCACAATCCTCCTGCCTCGACCTCCCTAGTGTTGAGGTTACAGGTGTGAGCCACCACACCCTGTGAGGTCTGCTTTTTTTTTTTTTAATTCAGTAACTTGCTGAAACTTGTTTGAGTGGAGCCTTCAGAAGAGCAGAGTTTGCTGGAGTTTGCCTGTGGTCCACTTCTGCCCCTCTGTAGGCCTTTCACCAGGGGCGCTATAACAAAATCAAAAGACTTGGCCGGAGTGCCCACCGAGTGTGGAGGCAGGGGAGAGGAGGCTACTGACTGAAGCCAGGAGAGAGGTTTCTGAGAGAAAGGGGTGCTGGTGTCACATGTTCCAGAGAATTCAAGCAAAAGAGGAAAAGTGGATGGCTTCAGTAGCAGAAGAGCTTGATTTCAGATTCTTAGAACAAGAGAATCCGAGTTTAGCCATAACTTACTTTTTCTCCTTTCTGGTCCTGCAGTGTAGAATTTTCTGCATCAGTCTTGTCATTGGCAGGGATTCAGTAAGCACTTGTTGTAAAGCATTATTAACTGGAGCTGATTGATCTTCTAGCCAGATCAGTTGTGTATGTGCCTGTGTGTTTGTGTACATGAGTGTGTTTGTGAGTGTGTGTGCGTGTGCACGCACGGCCTGGAACTTACTGTATAGACCAGACTGGCCTCGAATACTCAGAGATGCACCTGCCTCTGCCTCTTATTAAGCGCTGAGGTTAAAGGCATGCGCCACCAAGCCTGACTTCTGTTAGTGTTTTCTGTCAGAAGAAAACCAATGCCTAAGTGCTCTTTACAAATGCAGAAAACATTTTTTAGATGTAGATTTTTAATGTGGATCTCAGGAGAAACTTCTCCGTGTATTCTGTAACTCTAGTCCCAAGGAGGTAGGAGGGCCTGAATTAGTGGAGAATTACACTGTACCATTCAGGAAACCACTAGCAGCTGGAAGAGGGCATTTTAGCTCTGCAGATTTGAAGATGAAAATGATAATACTAATAAACTACCACTTACTGTTTCTAATAGTAGTTAACATTAAGTGATTACTATGTGCTGGGTACCACGTTAGGCATGGGTTCTTGAAATACCTAATTTAATTCCACTAAGCAACTCAATGAGGTACATACAATTATCTTTCCTTTACAGATGAGAAAATTGACCAGATTTGTGCCCCATCCCTGATCCTCCCAGAGGCAATGAGTGATCTCTCTGCTGCATAAGCTGTCCTTAACCTTTCTCACAAGTCAGGTAAGGCCATTGAATTGCTTTAAATTCATAATGTGAATTTATTTGTACACTCACTTTTTGAGGAGTCTTGGACCAGGTATTTGATAAACACTTCTTTTTATTTTGATTTACACTTGATTATGACTTTATATTTGGGGGAGAAGGGTGGTTTTCTTTTTCAGCCAAATTTGTTGTGTTTTTTTGTTTTTTCGAGATAGGGTTTCTCTGTATTGTTTTGGAGGCTGTCCTGGAACTCGCTCTATAGACCAGGCTGGCCTCGAACTCACAGAGATCTGCCTGTCTCTGCCTCCTGAGTGCTGGGATTAAAGGTGTGTGCCACCAATGCCTGGCATGTTGATATATTTTCATCTTCAGTCAAAGTTTACTATATTTTAGTTGATGTGTAGACTTTAGGTTTTAAAATTAGTATATTTTAATTATTTATTATAAATTATTGATAATTTATTTTATTTTAAAAATTTGTGGGTTTTTTTTAAATGTACACTGGTGTTTTACATGTCTGTCTGTCTGTCTGAAATTGTCAAATCCCCTGAAACTGGAGTTATAGACAGTTGATAACTGTCGTTTGGATGCTTGGAATTAAACCTGGGTCCTCTGGAAGAGCAGCCAGAGCTCTTAACTGCTGAGCCGTCGTCTCTCCAGCCCTTCAAATTCATTTCTGAAAAATCAAGTAAAAGAAAACTTTCAAGTAGGAGACTGAGATCTTTTGTTGTTGCTTTTTCGAGACAGGGTCTCTCTTGTATAGCCCTGGCTGCCCTGGAATTAGCTTTGTAGACCAGACTGGCCTTGAACTTAGAGATCTGCCTGCCTCTGCCTCCAGTGCTGGGATGAAAGGCGTGCACCACCATTTTTCCCCTACCTCAGCTTTTTCAAGAAGTATTCTTTAAAAAGATTTATTTATTTATTATGAATATAACATCCTGCCTCCATGTATGTCTGCACGCCAGAAGAGGGCACCAGATCTCAATATGGATGGTTGTGAGCCACTGTATGGTTGCCGGGAATTGAACTCAGGACCTCTGGAAGAACAGCCAGTGCTCTTAACCTCTGAGCCATTTCTCCAGCCCCAAGTATTTTTTTTTTCTTGTATGAAACAAAAGAGCTTAGTTTTAACTTTCTGTCATCATGAATTAGAAAATCTAATAGTACTTACCGCTCCATCTCACCTTTATGATGCTGGGATTGAACTCAGGGCTCTGGATAACCCAGGCAAGTCTTATGCCACCAAATTACACTCCCCAAACCCTTCAGAAACTATAAAGCTTCCAGTTTGTGCAATTCTCTTTTGGTATTTGACTATACTGTGAGAAATAATTGTAGGGGCTGGAGAGACGGGTCAGCAGTTAAGAGAACCTGGGTTCAATTCCCAGTAACCACAGGCAGCTCACAACTGTCTGTAACTCCAGTTCCTGGGTACCTGACATCCTCACTGAGACATACATGCAGACACATTAAATAAAAATAAATTATATATATATATATATATACACACACACACACACACACATATGTGTATATAAAGAAATACTTGTATAGACTTTGTGTTTTTGGGTTTTTTTTTTTTTTTTTTTTGGTTTTTTCGAGACAGGGTTTCTCTGTGGCTTTGGAGGCTGTCCTGGAACTCGCTTGGTAGTCCAGGCTGGTCTCGAACTCACAGAGATCTGCCTGCCTCTGCCTCCCGAGTGCTGGGATTAAAGGTGTGCGCCACCAACGCCCAGCTTGTGAAGTACTAATTTAATGCTTTTTAAGAATTATTTAAGGTCTAGGAGTATAATTCAGTGTTCCTCTCCTGGCCTAGCATAGATGAGGCCCTGGACTCATACCTCAAAAATACAAAGAGGGGGTTACTCATTAATTACCATACATGTTAGACACCTTGAGTAGACAACCAGGAATTAAGAGTTACTATTAGCCGGGTGGTGGTGGCGGCACATACACTTGTCTTTAAACCCAGCACTCTGGAGGCAGAGGTAGGCAGATCTCTGTGAGTTAAAGGCCAGCCTGATCTACAAAGTATGTTCCAGGGCTGTTACAAAAAAGAGTTACTATTAGTGGGCTGAAGGTTCAGCAGGTAAAGGTGTTTGCTGTCAAGTCTGAGGACCTGAGTTTGACCGCCTGGGATCCACATGTTGGAAGGAGAGATCGGAATCCTAGAAGTTGTCCTCTGACTCTACATATATGCTGTGGTACACATGTGCCCCCCTCCCCAAACAGGTGTGGTAAATATTAAGAGTTATTATTTGTTTAGATTCTGTTTAAATTCATACAGTTTTATTAAGATTTTGTGTTGGGGCAGGGGAGATGACGTAGGAAGTGCAAACTTGAAGGCCTGAGTTCGGGTTCCTGGAACCCATGTTAGATACAGACTTGGTGGTTTGTAACTGTGATGCAAGTTCTCCATGGTGAGACGGGAGTCAAAGACAGGAGACTCTCCCAGGGCTCCTGGTTGTCTTCAGGCCAGCTGAGATGTGAGGTGCAGTGGACGGTGAAGACTGATCCAGTCTGACCTCCGTGCACATGCTGTGACGTGTGTTATGGGATGTGTACACGCGCACACACACACACACACACACAGAAAGAGTGAGAGCGCTCACGAAAGTGGCTAGCCTGTAATGATGACACGCATTGTCCTCATATTACTTGGGAAGAAGACACAGGAGGATCTGAAGAATTCAAGGTCATCCTTGATTACATAGAGAGTTCCAGAGTTCCAGGCCAGATTGGGCTATCTGTGTCCGTCTCTCAAAAAGCAAAACAAGATAAAATTAGAAAATAGGTATTTATTATAAAAGTAATTGTGTTGTCAATAAATATGTTTACATGATAAATACTTCATGATTTTGACTGTGGGAGACCCTAGGGGTTGAAGTCAGGTGGTCGGGCTTGGCAGCCCCAAGTACTTTAACCTGTTGAGCCCGCTCACCGTTCCCATTGAGGTGTATTTTACTACACAGATTTTTTTTTTTACTCTTAGACAGGGCTTCTCTGTGAAACAGCCCTGGCTGTCCTGGAACTCAACTCTGTAGACCAGGATGGCCTCAAAATCACAGAGATCCACTTACCTCTGCTTCCTGAGTTGTCTTTTTTGAGACAGGTCTCACTGTACAGCCCTGCTTGTCCAGAAACTTGCTATGTAGACCCAGCAGGCCTCAGATTCAGAGATTGTCTGCCTCTGCCTCCCAGGTGCTAGGGTAAGCACATGCCACTTCTGACCTATACAGAATTTTCTAAAGCTATTTCTGGTTAACCATGGTAGTGCACTTACATCTAGGTTTCCCTTCTCTAAAGCAACTGGAGAAATCCCAAAGGACTCCTACTGTGCTGACCACCACTGTACCACAGCTAGGCAGCGTGAGTTAGTGTCTGCAGTGCAGCGGTCCTGAACCGGGATGAGCAGATGTCCAGAGGGATTTCCCCTCGGCACAGTGAGGGGAACAGCTCTCCACCAAGGGGGTGGTACAGCCTGAGGACAAAACCAGCAGCCCTCATGCTGGCAGTACAACAGTGGGGTCTATGTGTTGGGCTCTCAGGCTGGCAGGAAGGCTGAGGCTTCGTTATGAGCTGCTGCCCTTCCATTTTGCAAGACATTTAGTCGGAATGGAGGAGAGTGGCAGCAAGGAGCCAACAGCTGATTATTTTTGTCAGCTGAAAAGAAAATAAAGCCCAAGTTCACTTTTCCCAGCCTCTATCATGTGGGAGCTTGTGGAAACTAGCTAGCCTCCAGGGAAGAGGAATTGCGATGAACACTTCAGAGACAGCAGGAAGGTGAAAATTATGATCAAGTAGTTCCCTGTGGAAGGGGGTGGAGGTGAGATGTTGCTCTTCTGAAAATGGAAAAAAGATGAGATAAAAAGCTCAAGACAACAGACAAGGATGGCCTAGTGTCCAAGAGTTCAAAATCAAGAAAAACCTCCTCACTGTAGATTTGAAAGTCACTTTCTTTTTGTTTGTTTCTGTGTTTTGTTTTTTTCTAGAGCAGGTCTCAGTATGTAGCCATGGCTTCCTTGGAACTCACTATGGAGACCTGACTGGCCATGAACTCACAGAGATCGTCTGCCTCTGCCTCCGACTAAAGGGATGCATCACCACATCTGGCTATGACAGTCCCTTTCAAAGCAGTGGATGATGGGCACAAAGAAGTCTCTGAGAAAGACTAGAGAGCCAGGTGTGGTGGATCACCTTGTAATACTAGTTCTTGGGAGGCTGAGGCAGGAGGATTGTTTGAGTGTGAAGCCACTACTCTGGCTTGCACAGTTTCAGGCCAGCCCAGAGAGAATGACAGATGGGGACTGCAGTAAACCTAGCTGATGAATAACCGAAGATATCAGTGGAATTGATGAGGTAGAAAAACTGGGTCTTGCAGAGGACCCAGGTTCTGTTCTCAGCACCTACGTGGTGCTTCACACTCATCTGTACTTGTAGTTCCGTTACATCTCACCCTCTCTTCTGACCCGTCTGCACTTCCATATCTGGCTGAAAAGGTTTTCAAAAGGAAGTGGGAAGTGGGCTGCAGTGGCTCAGGACTTTTTATTTTTATTTCTTTGTGCGTGTGTGCATGTAGGTGTGCACACATTCCTATGAGAGAATGCAGGTGCTTACTCCAGGTGCGTGTGTGATCACAGGGTGACCTCAGATGTAGGTCCTCACCGTCTACCTAATTTAGACAGGGTCCCTTTGTTTTTCCTTTCCCTCTGTGCCCCAAGGATAGCTGGGTTAAGAACTCCCAGGGTCTCTCCTGTCGACACCTGCATCTTGTGATAGGAGTGTTGGGATTACAGGTGTGTGGTACTGCACCTGGCTTTTCTGGGGATTCTAGGGATTCAAAATCAGGTCTTCGGATTTGTGTAGCAGGGTCTTTATCTACTGACCCATCATCTTGTCCATGTAAATAACTTAAAAAAACTAACTTATATGTAAGATATATACATACACATATATTTATATATACGTATGTACGCGCGCACACACACACACACACATTTGGCTTTTTCAAGGCAGGGTTTCTCTATGTAGCCTTGGTTGTCCTAGTACTAGCTCTGTAGACCAGGCTGACCTCAAACTCAGAGATGTGCCTGCCTCTGCCTCATGAGTGCTGGGATTACAGGTGTGGACCAGCAGCACATCTGGTTTATACCAGCCCCTGAACTCACCGACTGACTTCCTCCCCACTCTTTTTCTTTCACTCTGCTAGGGATTGACTGCACATCCTTTTCCTGGGCAGTCATTCTTGTTCTACCTCGGCTGCATCCTCATTCTAGGGGCAACTAAACACATCTTAGTGTGGTTCTTCCTTTTGTCTTAATAAGCTAAAAAGAAAAACCTCTTATTTTTGCTGTGCATTTGTGTGTGGCTAGGTTTATTAGTGCATACAATTGTATTAGTTACACTAATGCTTCAGGCTTTTCTTTGTCTTTGTTAAGTCTGCTACCCTGACTCTGCAAAAATCAGTTCATTTCATTGTTGTAGACTGTATGGGGTTTTATAATCTGCATTTGATCCTTCTGTGTGAGGAATGTTCTTCTCCAGGAGCATATACATCTCTTGTTATCGCTGGCAGGTGAAATGACAGTAACATGCTATACAGCTAACATGTGTGAATAACTTCTGTTTCTGCAGAGTTTACTACAGCTAGCCATTCTTCTTAGTTCAGTACATGTGGTGCCCTTGATCTTTAGAACCTAGTGATGATCTAACTACTGTTATTCACAGATGAGGTGTTTGAGATTCCAAGAGTTTAAATGGTTTGTTCAAGATAACACAGCCCATGGTAGATTTTTGGACTTGAACATCCATTTCTCCTGCCACAGACAGGAGATCTGTGTAGTATCCTGGTCGTTAGTATGTCTCTCCCTAGCTCTGTTCTGTCTTCCTTCCAGCTTGTTTTCTGGTGCTGGGGATTAAACCCTGGCCTTGCATGTGCCGAGCCTTTGTTTTACCACCACTGCACTGCTCTGGCAGGATTGGAGCCTGCTTGTTTCTTTTTTCTTTTGAGACAGGCTCTTATAACCTTGAACTTCTGATCCTCCTGTGTCCATCTAAAGACTGCTGAGACTTTAGGCCTGGTGTTTGCAAGCGATCGTATCTCAGCATGCTTGTTTTTGTTCAGTGCTGGGGACTATCCCAGGACTCAGCCATCACTATACCACCTAGTCTGCAGCCCCAGATTCAGTTCTGAGACAGGGCTTCTCTGTGTACCTTGGCTGTCCTGGAACTCCCTCTGTAGACCAGGCTGGCCTTGAGATCCTCCTGCCTCTGCCTTGAGTGCTAGGATTAAAGGCCCTGGGGCTGCAGTTAGAGATGGTTGTGAGCCATCCTGTGGGTACTGGGAATTGAACCCAAGTTCTCTGGAAAAGCAGCCGGTGCTCAGTGTTCTTAACTGCTGAGCCATTTCTCCAGCCCCCTCCGCTCCCCCCCCCCCCACTTTTGAGACTTATGTGCCCAGGTTGCCTCAAACTTATTTGTGTAGCTGAGGATGACCTGGAACTCATGGTCCTTCTTCTGCCACCTCCCAAGTGCTGGGAGTTAACTTGGTAGAAGCCAGTTTGAGCTAGTCACAGAGTAATATGATTTGGTTCACTTTTGGAGGGCAAGATAACCCTTAACTCCCATTTTCTTGTTGGAGCTCATCCTTGTAAGAGTCTAGTGATTCCATCACATTAGGAAGGGTGACATGGAAACATTTTATATTGTGGGTGAGCTCGCTTTGTTTATCTTTGTGTTAATGAGACCTTTGATGTTTTGTAGACAATCTGCTTCCTCTTGAGTGAGAGCATTCCAAACTGTGGACCCCTGGGCTCTCTTCACATTGCTGTGGTGCAGAAGATTTAAAATCAGGTATGGCTGAGAGGCACAAGTCCCTCAGTGAAATTCTCTACTTGAGCCTGCCTTACACTCTCTGATTTGTTTATCATTTGGGTTTCTTTTTTGTGGTGGCCTTTTAGCTGATGTTCACAAGGAATAGAGTCACGTGATGTATGAAGGGAAACATATACACTTCTCTGAGGTTGACAATAAGCCCTTGTGCTCATATAGCCCCAAACTGTGCAAGCAGCGGCGACTCAACGGCTACGCTTTCTGTATCAGACACGTTCTGGAAGACAAGACTGCCCCCTTCAAGCAATGTGAATATGTGGCCAAGTATAACAGCCAGCGCTGCACCAACCCCATTCCCAAATCAGAGGATCGTAGGTAAGAACCATCTTGGGGCCATGCTTGGGTCATTGGCAGTTTTGGAATTTTGTCTCTCTGATATTGTTTCTTTTCAGTGTGTTAAATTTCAATGTTGAGTCCTGGGACTGTCCAAGGAGTACTTCTGGGGAATAAGAAAGAACAGTTTCTTTTAAATGGAATGGTATATTTTAGTGCATTTTCAAGTATGTTTGGGTATTTTCTTTTATTGATTTCATAGACTTCTAGCCATTTAAGACAGCCCCCCCTCCAAAAAAATTTCTGCTAACCCTTGTAGTCCTGCTGTGTTTGGTGTGGCCACCAAAGGAACTGCTGGTCTCTGCCCACTGACTGCCATAGGGCAGAAACTAGCTAAGTGCTACCATCAGTATTAATTTGGGTTTTGAAAAAAAGTGCCTGCGTGAAAGGTAATAGTATTAATTCGAAGATGTATTTGTTGGAAAATAATTTAAAATAATGAAACCTTGATTAGATTTGCTCCATAACAGATATCTAAGTCATGATTGACAGTTTTCTTTTTTTTTTTTTTTTTGTTTTGTTTTTCGAGACAGGGTTTCTCTGTGGCTTTGGAGACTGTCCTGGAACTCGCTCTGTAGACCAGGCTGGCCTCGAACTCACAGAGATCCGCCTGCCTCTGCCTCCCGAGTGCTGGGATTAAAGGCGTGCGCCACCAACGCCCGGCTGATTGACAGTTTTCTAATGTAACCTTTTATGGTTAAAAAGAGTCCCACATGCATTATGTTTATGAAATTATATTTGCACTTTTAAAAATACTTTAGCTATCCCCTATATTTTTCTAGCATTTTCAAATTTCATTTCCCCACATTTTAGAATCAGAAAAAAACTAATCCTTATTATCTTACAGGTCACAGAATAATGTTACAGAGTGTCAGAGAACAAGACACTCAGGAGACTTGGGAGTCATTTAGTCACTGGAGAGTCTGGTCTGGAGACAAAGGGGGAAGTTTCATTTTTAAGCTGGCACTGTCCACCATGGCAAATATTTCTCCTAGGTGGTTGCTTACACTGAAAATTAAGCACTCGGCGCCTTAGCAAAGGGCTCCACAGCTGCAGGTGTTCATGTCCCTGAAAGCTGTGTGCAGCAGCACTGCTCTGAACAGTCTGCCTCAGGCCTGAGAAACTGCTCTCATCTCTTGGTGTCCCTTTTCCTTTTCTTTAGGCTCTAGCCACAGAGACTGGTGTCTTTCAGGGCCTCCTGTCTAAGGCTGATGTACCACCCAAGTCACCATGTGCAACATGTTGATCCTTCTTGGCATAGGCCCAGATACTGACCACATAGAACTAAGCCTAAGGTTCAAGAAAGACTTTAAAAGCATCAGTGAGCAATTCTACAGCCTGAGGAAGGAGTGACCAACCCACTAGACTCTGATGGGCCAGGCCTGTGCCAGCTCTGGTGATGATGGATCAGGGACTGGGACAGCTGTGGTCTCTATCCTTACCACACTGTCATCAGAACTGCTGGAATAGGGTGTGTCAAGGCCCGAGTCTGAGTAGGGCCAATTAAGGGCATCGCACCTTCCATTAAGGATCTTGGTTGGCTTGCTTTGTGTCTTGGCACATGAATTATTTTCCACCTCAGTGGAGATCAGACTCCCAGATCTTTTTCATCTCCTTGTCCCTGCCTATGTTATGGCAATGGAGAGCTCCCCAGGATTGCAAGCAGCACTAGGTTAGGAGGAAGGGATTTGGCTTCAGGATACCTTTCCCGAGACCATTATACAGAATAATGATGAAAATCTGATTGAGGTGGTGGTGCTGGAGTCCTTCTGAAAGGGAGGGTCCACCTGGAAGCAGGAGACCCACTTCAAGTTACAGGAATGCCTTGGAGGTTGGAATAGGCTGGGCATGGGGACTGGCATCAACCACAATGGGAAGGGCATGCCCGCTGTGGCACAAATAATAAAAAGGCAGAGACAGATATTGGGGTTGAAGCTGAAGATCAGGAAAGCAAAGTAGCCAGCCACTAGAGCTCTCACCTCTACCAAGGCTCAGACTGAAAGGGGTGATTGTGTCCTCAGTATGACTGCAGACTGACTGACTTCTGTCTCCTCCTGTCTTATATTCCTCTCTAGTGCTGGGATTAAAGGTGTGCACCACCGCTGCCAGGCCTCTATGGCTGATTAATGTGGCTCAATTTGCACTCTGATATTCAGGCACGCTTTATTTGTTAGATCATACATAAAATATCACCACAGCCAGGCGTCATTTAGTGTCAGGGTGGCTCTTTAGGAGAGCACCATAGTTGAGGAAAGTCAGGCCCGAGGGACACAGACTACCTGGAACTCACAAAGCTCCCTTTGCTGCTGCAGGGGCCTCTGGGTCTCCTCTAGACACATGCTCTGCCCCACTGTCCCCTTCCCCTGCCAGTTGTATTTTCACTGTAAGGGTACACTTTTCACTAGAATTTGTGAATTTATACTTTAAAAACATGGTGCTATTTTCCTTTTCTTTACATTGTGCTTTTTGTTTGTTATTTTCTTTTTTTGAGACAGGGTTTCTCTGTATAGCCCTGACTGTCCTGGAACTCACCCTGTAAACCAGGTTGGCCTGAAACTCACAGAGATCCGCCTGCCTCTGCCTCCCAAGTGCTGGGATTAAAGGCGTGCGCCACCACCGCCCAGCTATCTTGTGGTGTCTTAAAGAAATGGGTTGTAATTTTTTATCTTTTACATTCTTAGGAAAAATACTTTGACTTATCGTCCTTCATGTTTCTTTCCATTCTCCAGGTCACAGTGATCATTCTGAACACGGCTTTAGATACTATGTTAGGGTAGAAATTTTGAACCTCTTCTATTTTAACCTACCCTCCCTCTGTGTTTGTTTGTTGTCCTTGTTCTTTAAAGTAAGCAAATGTCAACCTGCATACTAGCCAAAAAAGCACATTTTTATTTTCAGTGTGAAATAGACAATTCTGTAGGTAGGGAGCCCACCAGAGTGAGCACATTAGAGGTGACTGGAGATTCTCTTAGAACTTCTGATTATCACGTGTGTCTCAGATTACAGAGTGAGAGTCAGAAACAGGTGCTTAGCGCAGCCTAAGCACCCTCCCTAACCTCCCTATTAAACACCACATGCCTGGTTCTTGGGGACTGAGGGGAGTTCCTTAACCCTGCCCCTAACAAAACCTCTCTGCTTGACTCCCCTGTAAAAACATCGCTTAGTGGGGCTCAGTTCAGGTTATCGCACACAGCACTTGCCTTTCTTTTCATTTGTGCCAAAGCAAGTACTATCTTATTAGTAAGGTCAGAAGAGAGCCCTGCCTTTCTTTTGTTTCTCTGTGTAGCCCTGGCTGTCCTGGAACTGGTTCTGGCCTTGAACTTACAGAGATCTACCTACCTCAGCCTCCTGAGTGCTGGGGACTAAGGCATGGGCCACCACCACCTGGCTTGAGCTGTTTCTCTTAAAGAGGGAACATCTTCCTAGCTGGACTAGAATGTTTATTTAGTTCTACACAGCATTTAAAATAAATATACAAATATAAATTTGCCACTTTCCCTGAGGGGAGTGTTGATAGATTAGGTTTTGTGAGCTGCCCAGCACTGGTGCTTGGATCCAGACCCTGCTCCTCGTCATTGGGTAGCAAACACTCTTAGCCTCCTAGCCACCTCTCTAACCCTGACTTTTTTATTGTTTGGTTTGCTTTTCGAGACAGGGTTTCTCTGTGTAACAGCCCTGACTGTCCTGGAACTCGCTCTGTAGACCAGTCTGGCCTTCAACTCATGGAGATCCACTTGCCTCTGCCTCTCAAGAGCTGGGATTAAAGGCATGGGCCACCACCCCAGGTTTAGTCCTGACTTCTGATTTAAAATATAAAGTCTTACCTTACTATTCTTTGGTGAAACTAATCTTTTCATGAAATGCTGAAAACCATTTGTTTTGTTTCCTTTATACTGGATATTGAGCTCGGGCCTTGGTCTATCAGTGAGCTACCCACCTAGCCACCCCAACCCCCCCCCCTTTAAAAAATACACCTGGTGTTTTGTCTGCATGAGGGTGTTGGGTCCCCTGGAACGAACTGGAGTTACAGACAGTTGTGAGCTGCCATGAGGGTGTTGGGAATTGAACCTGGTTAAGAGACCAGCCAGTGCTCTTAACTCCTGAGCCATTTCTCTGGCTCCTCGTAGTCCTTTTTCTTTTCTTTTCTTTTTTTTTTTTCAAGACAGGGTTTCTCTGTGGCTTTGGAGGCTGTCCTGGAACTAGCTCTTGTAGACCAGGCTGGTCTTGAACTTGTCATCCTCCTGCCTTGGTATTCTGAGTAGCTGGAATTATGAGTGTGACTACTATGTTTTCTTCTTTGAGTGTTGTGTTTCGATTCTGTGTTTCAAGACTCCCAGATTGGGGCATGAACTGCCGGTATAGAGGAAGGTGACTGAACTCCTGGTCCTCTTGCCTGTCTCTGGCTCTCACGTGCTGCGATTACAGGCTGGTACACCATACCCAGTCCTGCTTCTTCTTTTTAACTTCTTAGTTACTAGTCTTTCCTAACAGCACTTTCCTTCCTGGCCTGTCTTAGGACGCTGTTTAGTGTGGGATCCATGTAGGGGTCTGCTCAGTGCTGTGTGGAGATGTCATTGCTTGCCTCAGTAATAGGTTCCTCCTTCAGATAGCTTTGGGAAGCACTGACAGATTTGAAAAGGGTACATCTCCCTCTTGGAACTTCATAATACATGTTATTATACATAATTCTTTGAGAAAGTTTCCAGCAGAAACAATCAACAACAAAATTATTATGTCATTTTGGTTAAGCCGTAATTTTCCAAATTGACTTAAGTGTGGGGTGTTATTTTGATGGCACTTGTTAACGTGCTGTGGGAAGTGTGTGAGGAATATGAATTGGAGAGTATTCTGTTCACACACTCCTGACAGATTTTCAGTGTGGTTAGTTGGTATAACAGGTCTTTATTTTCTCCTTATATACAGGGACTGTATGCTCCGGGTGTGTAAGTTTAAAAGGTAGCCTGCCCGTTATTGAAGTCATAATGAGCATTGACTATAGTTTATACCCCAGCTTGGTCAGTTTCTGCTCTGGAGGGGGTTTGGGGCACATTCATTTTTATAAGTGTAGCGGAGTTATCTGAATCAAGGGCATTATTTTAGTGCCTACTTGAGCTAGTGCTGCAGGAGACAGTCTGTGTTCTTATATCTCTGCCTACTGAGATGCTCATTCTACTAACCACTCTTAGTCCCCTCCCTCTTGTGTGTGTGTGTGTGTGTGACTGGTGTGAGTGTATGTATGGTGTGTGTGTGGTGTGAGTGTATGTATGTGTGGTGTGGGTATGTATGTGGTGTGTGTGGGTCTGTGCGTTTGGTGTGTGTGTGGGAGTGTTTGGGGTGTGTTTATAAGTGTGAGTGGGTGTGGGGCATGTCAGGGTTATGTTACATGAGCTTGGTGACTCTCCAGGAACTTAAGTAGCATTGGAATATAATGCTTTTTTCCATAAGAGACTTTTAAATGATCTTCAGACTTTTGATGAGTTATTTTGTATGCTGTGAATAGAGAAGAACAAAGCTGTGTGAGAAACAGTGGCCAAGTTGCTGTCCAGGCTGCTCACCAGTGGACAGACCTGCTTTTGTCTGGTGACCTCTGTACTTGAACAGATCACATATGTGCCTTATCAAAACTATGTAGACCTCAGTTGGGGATAGCGTGAGAGGATTGACAGTTGCTTTTTTCATTTTCTTTGCTGAGTTAGCATCTTGCTGTGTAGCCCTGGCTAATTTTGAATTTATGGTCCTCCTGCCTAACTCTCCTAAGTGTTAACATTACAGGCTTGTGCCGCCATATTTCCAGCTGTAACTTTTTTGTTTTGTTTTGTTGGTTTTTTTGAGACAGGGTTTCTTCTCTGTGTAGCCCTGGCTGTCCTGGAACTCACTCTGTAGGGCAGACTAACCTTAAACTCAGAGATTCACCCGCCTCCGCCTCTGGGGTGCTGGGATTAAAAGCTTGCACCACCACCACCTGGCTGACTATATAACTATTTTTGTTGTGGTTTCTAAAGATAGGGTCTATATGTTGGCTTTCGAGAACTCCTGATCCTCTTGCACTTTACAAGTGCTAGGATTCCAGGCCTGTGCTACCGCACCTGGCCTTGGGCATCTGATGTGTTAGGAGTCCAGTTTTGTAGTATGTGCATGTATATGTGTATGAAGAGCACTCTCTCACACGTGTGTACTGTTGCAGGTACTGCAACAGCCACTTGCAGGTACTTGGCTTTATCCCGAAAAAAGAGAGGAAGAAAAAGAATGATCCGGTAGATGAGGTGAAGGTCAGGCACCAGATGGATGCCATGGCATTTAGCCTGACGGTGCCCACGCTGGCCTTGAAGATGCCCAATGGACTGGATGGCATGACCCTCTCTCCGCCCGGGACAAGGGTCCCTCTCCACTACCTGGAAACTGAGTTGGAAGACCCCTTCGCTTTCAACGAGGAAGACGATGACCTAAAGAAAGGGGCAACTGTGAGAAAGAAGTTGCAGAGCAAGTTGGCTCAGAACCGGCAGCGCCAGAGAGAGACAGAGATTTTAAAAGTTCGGCAAGAGCACTTTAGTACCCCTCCCGCGCCTCCACAGCAGCACGCCCACCTGTCACCTCTATCCACTTCTTTGAAACCTCCAGCGCCACTGCAGGGTTCAGTCTGCAAGTCACCTCAACCTCAGAACACCAGCCTACCAATGCAGGGAGTGGCCCCCACCACACACTCTATAGCACAAACACGGCAGGCCTCTCACAAGAGGCCTCTGCCCCTCCTTCCATCCAGTCGGGCTCCCATCTCAGACGCCCCCAGGACTGACAGAGTCCTCATGAAAGCCACCGCCTTCTCTCCACACTTCTCCTGTATAAGCCGACTGCAGAGACTGGTGAAACTGTGTACCCAAAGGCATCAGCTGGACGCGGACCTGTTTCCTCACTTAGGTAAGTTGGCTCCTTCTTCCTTCACTGTAGCTATTGCTGCCTTGACATGTGTCTGTCACAGCTGTGCGCTTCAGCAGACCGCCCACAGTAAACATGCTACTGCATGGGAGACACCTGGTGAACTGACCATTTAGAATGTCTGTCATAGCTTTTACAAATCAAGTTCTTAAAATTCTAAAACTGATATTTTGACAATTTTATATGAGCATAGAATGCATTTTCACTGTATCTAATACCCCCACTGCTTGCTCCCCTCTTCTAGCGAACCCATTTCGTCCTTACTAGTTCCTTTTCTACTTTGTATGTTTGCTTTGTTGCTGATTTGCTGAGTTTGATTAGCTTTGCTTTCGTGAGTCTGGAGACAGCCATAGCTCTCATTAGTGCTTATAGCGGTACATAAAAGATGCTTGCATTTGGTTGTGTCCTCTGTGAGATCGGTATCTGCGTGCTCATTGGAGTTCTTGGTGTCTTTGGAGGGCATTGCTGTGGTGCATTGCTGTGGCCAGTTCTTAGCTCACAGGATGCTCCTGCCTCAGCCTTGGTACGTTTTATTTAGACACTGTATCACCATCTACTGTGATAGCATCCTTCCTCTCTGATCATTCTTCTTTCTTATAGACTTTGTCAATCATCCAGGCACAGTACCAAATGACTATTATCCTATCACTTGGGAGGCAGAGGCAGGAAGATTGTTCCAAGTTTGAGGCCAGCCTAGTCTACTTAGTGAGTTTCAGGACAGTCAGGGTTTTGTAGTGAAACCCAAACCTCCAAAAACATCATTGAAGATGTTAGTTCTCCTGGTAGTTCATGTTCATGCTTGAAAAATAAGAAAAGACAAAACTTATAATTTTATTTTTTAACTTATTTGTGTGTGTGTATGTGTGTGTATGTATATGTGTGTGGGTATGGTGAGCGTGAGTATGTGTGGAGGTCAGAATAGTTTCTGGAGTTGGTTCTCTCCTTCCATCATGGGATTTGGGAATTGGATTCAAATTTTTGTTGTTGTTGTTGTTTTTAAATAATTGCTTTTATCATTGAGCCAGATAAAAGCTCTAATTTTATTTATTATTTTATTTTATTTATTATTTATTATTATTTATGTGTTTGTTGGTTTTTCCAGACAGGGTTTCTCTGTGTGAGTGACAGAAGGAATATGAAGGCTGGGCAGTAGTCACACACTTTAATCCCTATATTTGGGAGGCAGAGGCAGGCATAGTTCTGTGAGTTCAAGGCTGGGCTTGGTCTACAAAGTGAGTTCCAGGACAGCCAGGGTTACACAGAGAAACCCTGTCTGGGAAAAACAAAAAATTGTAGCATTGCTTACAGAATTAGCAGTCTGACATTATCTTCAATAACCAATGGGAAACTTGAATGAATCATATGCATATGTTTTACACACTATTACACAGCTGTTATGAAGAGTGAATGATGTCTGACTGGGTTGTGTTTAGCATGACTTAACCGGTGGAAGAAAGTCAAGAGGAATTATGCTACTCTGTTTTGTAAAATCTAAGTTAACAAAAGGAAATAAGCAAGAGCTTCAGTATCCACTGGTTATGTATATGGGTGACATTTGCCTGTTCAATGTAAGTATAGGTGAAGTATATACATTACCAGGCTGTTGATATTGCTTCCCATGGAGAATGGAGTGGGATGGAGTGGGGGTATATGTATTTTATTGTAAATGAAGTGTTAGGCTTTCTTCTGTAACTCTAAACTATTTAACCTGGTATAAATTATCTGAATAAAACTTCTGGGTTATAGTAAGTAAAAGTAATAAAATATCCCCAAATCTATTAAATAGCCATTTGATAGGACCTTAGTAAATTCTTTAAAGTAGGCTAAGTTGAGTTCCTGTTAATCATACGTATAACTTCTTGCATAATAATGTATTTTTAAGTTAATTTTTTATATATCGCATAATTTATCATGGCTGAATTTAAATTATTTCCATTCTGTATTACTTTAAACTTTGTAGATTCATAGCTTCACAGGAAAGTAAACACTGTTACATCTTTAATTTTTCCTTAAAGTATATAATGATAAACAGTTGCATGAATGGTGTGGGAGAAGGAACCAGACCATATGCTGTGGTGTGTATGTGAGGTGAGATGACAACTTTGTGCAGTCAGCTCTCTCCCGCCTTCTCTTGGGTTCCAGATATGAAGTGGGCCATCAGGCTTGTGCAACAGGCATCTTTAATCTCCGAGCCATCTCACCAGCTGGGTTTCTTTTTCTGTGTGTAGTAAGTATATGTATGTGTGTACACACACATGCAAGTGCATATTTGTGCACATGAGTGTGGAAGCCAGAGGGTGTCTTCCTCCGGTGCTTTCTACTCTATCACACGCATTAGTGAAAAAAGTTAAAACAAAGAAAACAAATGATATTCAGGGTTGTGGATTTAGCTCATTCGGTAGATACTCACCCAGTAACCATGAGACACTAGGTTTGATCCCCAGCACTGCATAAACCTGGCATAGAGTAAGTGTCTGTAGTTCCATTACTTGGGAGGTGGAGATAAGAGGATCAGGAGTTTAAGTCATCTTTACTACATAGTGAGTTCATGACCAGCCTAGGGCTATGTGAGAGTTCATCTCAAAACTGAAATAATCTACAACTAAACTCAATGAAACAAAAGCAGTTGATCAAAGCTACACCTAAAGCAATCAACAGTCTTTCCTCACACAACAGAGGTTGGATGTTTTATGGTAAGCCACACAGTATGCTAGCCAGTGCTTGAGGTTGAGATGGAGTAAAGTAAATCATTTTTAACAGGTAAGAGCACTTGTAAGTCAAACTCTCTACACCCCTGGCATTTCTGCATCTTTCCATGCCAAGAGTGCCTTGGGAAGGATCCAGTGCCGATTTGAGTTTGGCGCCGCTGCCTTGATTCATGGGGAGGCAGCAGCAGTCACCCACCATTGCACTTACATTGCTGTCAGTGTCACACAGGTATAAGGACAAGCAATGTCTTAGCCATCTTCTGAAAGTAATGTTGATATTTGGAACTCCTGAGAAATCTTTGGGGACTCTGGGATTTACAGACAATATTTAGTTACATAGCTGAACATTTGTCTATATGTTTTATGAACCAGTGTTTATTTTGTATTTATTTCTTTGCTTTTTCATACATTTTTATCAAAGCTTTTACTGATACCTAGAGCTATTCACACAAAGTTCATATTTTTGTGACACCTCCCCTCCACTCCTCACTGTTAACATGTTTTTTAATATCTGTAAGACTGGTATTTTTGGACACCTTTATTTATTGTGTGTCTGTGTGCTTGTGGATGTACGAGTGCATGGAACACATGCTAAGCTCACAGGACTGTTTGGGAGAGTTGTTTTCTCTCCATCCACGTGGGCTCTGAGGATTGACCTCAGGTCATCAGCCTCGACTTCAGGCACCCTGATAGCTGCCCTGCCAGTCCCTGAGCTTTGGTTTGTTTGTTGCTATGTAGCCTCTGTTGTCCTTGAATTCAGAGTGTCCTTCCTCAGTCACTGACTGCGCTGCTGTGCCTGACTCATTTTTCTTCATTTTTTGAAAAGTGAAGTTTACCAGAAATCATTTAACCTTTTTTGTGTTTTTTGTTGTTGTTGTTGTTGTTGTTTTGAGACAGGGTTTCTCTGTGTAACAGCCCTGACTGTCCTGGAGGTTGCTCGGTAGCCTAGGCTGGCCTCGAATTCACAGACATCTACCTGCCTCCTGAGTGCTGGGATTAAAGGGGTATGCCACCACTGTGTTTTTAAATCCAAGTATATTAGAGATCTAAGACTCTTTGGAGAAGACACTCTGGCCACCATTCATAGTTTGCATTCAACTTACTGAAGAGCACTTTAAGGGAAAGCCAGACTGTGACTCACAGTCTAGGCTGTCTGGGCTGGTTCTATCAGTTAGTTACATTAGGATAGGAGATAATGAGGCCAAGATCAAGGTTTGCTTCATAATTAGTTTAATAATGGAGAAACACATCCGTCTTCATGTCGCCGAGGGCCACTTTTGCTAAGTGACTCCATTGACACTTTTTCTTGCCTGGACATATAAATTACATTCCTCACCCCTCCCCATTTTTTTCTTGAGACAGGGTTTCTCACCATATACCCCGACTGGCCTGGAACTCGATTATGTAGATCAGGCTGGCGTCATACCATAGAGATCCGTCTGCTTCTGCCTCTGTCCTCCAAATGCTGAGATGAAAGGCCTGAGCCACCATGTCTATCTTTTCTTAACCTTTTCACTGTTTTTTTTTTTGTTGTTGTTGTTGTTGTTTTTTGAATTAGGGTCTCAGGAATCTCAGACTGGTCTAGAACTCAATAGTTGGGGGTGACATTGAATTTCTGGTCCTTCTACCTCCATCTTTCAGGGTCTGGCTGAGATTATAGGCATGCACCACCACACTCCGTTTTAGGTCGTGTTGGCGTTTGAACCCAGTGCTCTGTGCATTCCAGCCAAGCACTGTCCCAGTTAAGCCACATTACCGGCTTTGACCTTGATGGCCTTTAAAAAAATTGTTTTAGAATATGACTTTTAATTTAATGTATGACATTTTGGAATTTGAATGATTTTACCTTTTATGTACTGGGACCTCAGTGTCTTTGCTTGTGCTGTTTCCAAATGATTAACAAAGTATATTATGGAGTCCATTCTTGGAGCACAGCACAGCTATACTGTTAAAATGTCATGATTTTAAAGCTGAGTGTGTAGCATCATACATCTTTGTAAAAATAGAAGGGAAGTTCATTTGGAGGCCCCTATGTATTTTAGATATTTTGTTGTTGTGTTTGTTATTTGAGACAGGGTTTCTCTTTGTAGCTTTGTAGCCTGTCCTGAAACTCACTCAGAGGTTGATATCTGCCCTCCACACAAATGATCATGCACCTGCATGCACAGCCACATACATGTGCCTCTGTATACACAGAAACATACACACATACACTCAGAGTAGCCAGATATGGTAACTTTTACTTGTAATCCCAGCCCATAGAAGGATCACCAGAAGTTTGAGGCCATCCTGGGATAAGTTTTATAATCAAACCTCTTAGCTACAGACTGTAGAAGAGCCTTTTGTTTGTTTGTTTGTTTGGTTGGTTGGTTTTGGTTTTTCCAGACAGGATTTCCCTGTGTGGCCCTGGCTGTCCTGGAACTTGCTCTGTAGCCCAGACTGGCCTCAAACTCACAGAGATCCACCTGCTTCTACCTCCCAAGTGCTGGAATTAAAGGTGTGTACCATCACTACTGGGCTTCAGGCAGCTTTTTTTTGGTCTGGGTTTTACTGTTTTTAAATTTCATCCTATTGATTGATTGATTGATGGAGTAATGTGTGCCACTGTACGCAAGTGGAGGTCAGAAGACAACTTGTGGAAGGAAGTTGGTGCTGTTGTGCCATGTGGGTACCTGGGCTCGAACTCAGGTGGTCAGGGTTGGCAGTGAGGGCCTTGTTATTGATGAGCCACCTTGGCAGTCTTTGTGCAGATCTTAAGTAAATTGATGTTTTTTCTAACCTGTTTTTCCCTCTGTCCTGCTGCAGGGTTGGACTGGTCTGAAGAGAGCGGAGAAGAGCCGGAGGACTCAGATCAGGCCTCGCCATATCAGGTTGCATGGTCCATCCGAGAAACCCTCAGATACGAAAGACACACGTAAGCTTTCCTTGTTTTTCCCCCATGTAGCAGTTTACCTTTCTTCTTGTCTGTGCCAATGATTTAATTTTACTATGCTATAATTAGGTATATAGTTAGGCAAGTTAATTCAGTTTGGGAAGAAATGAATTATATTGCTTGAAAAAGGTAACTTTGGGGTTTTCTTTCTAAATGTGTTTCCTTATCTTTCCCATTCACCAATGGAGAGAATTGAAAGGGATCTTAGAGATTATCTGCTGTAATTTCATCTTACAAAAGTGGAAAACATATCCAAAGAGGCTAAGGAACTTGATCATGATCACTGAGGGCTACCTAGAATCCCACCATGCCTCCCACCCAATAGTGTTGTTTTTGTTTTTGGAGACAGGGTCTCACTGTAAAGCCCTGGCTGGCTTGGAACTCTCTATGTGGAGCAGGTTGCTTTGAACTCATATTTATCCAGCTGTTTCTGCCTCTTGAGTGTGTGCCCTGAGAAACAGTGCTTTTTATTTTACTTCACTGGCTTCTACATGATTGATCTGCTATATAATGCTTTTCTTGTTTCTGGAAATACTCACCTTATCAAAAGCTGATTCAATATTCTTATAGCCCTATTCAGTGTTTTTCCCAGTTTGCTTTATAAAGAAGGTATTTGTCAAGCGTTTGTAGATGATGAATGTTTGTCTTCTTAGTAATAAATAGTACAAAGATGAGTTTCTTTTCACTAAAAGAGTTCAGTTGGTGCACTGTAAACAAACCAAGTGACATCTTTCTTGGTAGGACCAGAAGATATTGCTCATGGCCTGAGCTGATCATTTATTTAAAAACTTGGGGTTTACATAAATACCTCCAAAAAATTGAGGCAGCTCATTTGATATCTGATACTGATCTTGTAAGTTGATTTTTCTGTCCCTCCTGCCAGCTCCCAAATTCTGACGGAGATGTGTTACTAATTATGAAAGTTCTGCTGGTAGCTTGGCTTGTTTTTAACTAGCTTTTATAAGTTAAATTAACCCATTTCTATTAATTTGCATGTTGCCCTGTGACTCAGATGGCTTTTTACCTCATCTCCTGCACATCCTACTTCCTCTGGGTCTCTGACTGGTGACTCTCTGTGTCTCTGCCAGTCTTCTTCCCAGTGTCCTTTCTGCCCTGAAAATCTTGCTTAGCTATTGACTATTTGACTTTTATTAAAACAATCCAGGTGACAAATCTTCACAGTGTACAAAAATATTATTCCACAACATTTCCCCCTTTTGTCTAAATAAAAAAGAAAGGTTTTAACTCTAGCATAATAAATCTGTAAACAATAAGAGCAATTATCAAGTAAGAATTACATTTACAATGTCTAGTCTATTTGTATTTGGTACTCCATTATTTATTCTATCTTGATGAGTCCAAAGCTCTATACCTAGTTTACCTTCTACCGTAACTAAGGATAGCTATAATTATCTAGTCTTCACTCTATCAAAGACCTCAGAAGGATATAATATTACCTTAGTAAACAGTAAGTGCAGAACAAGCAGCTTCCAAAACTAAAAGAAATTAAAGAAACAGCTGGTTGCTTGGACAATCACCCAAGGTTCCTCTGCAAATTGGGGCATCCATTTTTGGCCTAGAGGCCTAGACTATCTGAGAGACTTTCTGTGAAGCAGGAATTTTGAAGGACTGTTCTACCTTGTCTTGGAAAAGTTTGGCAATTCTTTGCTTTGTGTCCAGTTTGGACAGCATACTGTCATCAGTCGAGGCATGGGTAGTTTTTTACCCAGTGGCTACCTTTTGCTACAAAGTAAGCTCCATATGTAGGTTCTTTGATGCCCATCATCCTTTTGAAGTAAATTGGTGCTATCAGAAGCGAACATGTCTCATTGTTATGAAAAGCCTTATGTTATTAAGACATTTTAAATACCATATTCTGTAGGTCAAGTGTTTGAAGACTACCTGTCTATCTAAAATATTTCTATGTATGACCTTGAAAACATACCTAACGTGACTATAAGTTTGATAGTTTTAGGTGACTATTAACTGTATTTATTATCCTCAATAGCTTTCAAAGACTAAAACTTTATGTAACTTTTTTTTTTAAGATTTATTTATTATATACACAATGTTCTGCCTGCATGTCAGAAGAGGGTTGTGAGCCATCATGTGGTTACTGGGAATTGAACTCAGGACCTCTGGAAGAGTAGTCAGTGCTCTTAACCTCTGAGCCATCTCTCCAGCCCCTTTATGTAACCTTTTTAAATGAGCTGTATAGGTACATAGCTTAAACAAGAATAGAAACGTATTTATTATTATCAATAGCTTTCAAAGACTAAAACTTTATGTAACCTTTTTAAATGAGCTGTATAGGTACATACCTTAAACAAGAATAGAAACATATATACAGTATAGCAAAAATAACCTTAAATTTGTATCAATATACAAAAATTCATACCAATGTAAAATATTTGAGACTAGTGGTTGCTTAAAAATAGATTCAGCAATTCACCCTTTTATCCAATCATTTTTTATACTATATCTCCCCTTTTCCTTCAGAAAAGAGATCCTTGAATCTAATTCTTTTATCTTTTTTCCTGACCATGACCAATAACAGCTTGTAACCAACCCCCTAAATGATGACAAACATCTATAACCCAAGACCAAAAGTCATCCACCCCACCTCTTAGGAATGTGGGCATTGTTCTCTAGACTGCTTCCAGTTGTCTGGGTGTTGGCATCTTTAGGAGACTCTGGGAAAATTGAGATAATGGTCAAGTAGTCCTGGGAGAGTTAGCTAGCTAGCTGTATTATTTGTTGTCTAGTCTCTGTGCAATGGGAAACTTCAAGGGTTATCTGAAGTCCTGGCTGGAGTAGTAGTCTGAGAGGCTGCTCAGTCAGCAGCCTCAAGCTGTTCTGGATGCAGAACTCTAAGGAAACTACCACAGAGGTGCTCTGAGAGGCTGGATCACCTGGACCACCTGTTTTCATTGGTGTCTGGTTCCCTTACTCTGAAAACACATAAACTTTCAAAGATAACATACATACCTTTATTTTATTTTATTTTATTGGTTTTTTGAGACAGGGTTTCTCTCTATTGTTTTGGAAGCTGTCCTGGAACTTGCTTTGTAGACCAGGCTGGCCTCAAACTCACAGAGATCCGCCTGCCTCTGCCTCCCAAGTGCTGGGATTAAAGGCGTGCGCCACCAACACCTGGCTCATACATACCTTTATTAACACAAGTATAGAATGTGTTGTGTGCTCAAGTCAATTAAAGATGATTTTTTGTTTTATGTTTGAGCAGGCAAAAGGCATCTTTCAACTTTATAAATCTGTTTGGACCATATAAACAAACTAATATAAATCTCCATCCATGCCATATGAAGAATGGCATGTAATAATAAGTCAGGAGGACTCAGTAGCTAACAAAATTTATCATCTTTCATTTCATCTCAGAGCTGTTCCCATGTCAAGGGATCAGCTTACATGTCACCTGTAGCCTTTTTTGCCTTCCTCCCCCATGTCTGTAGCCAAGATACGCAGGAGACCTCCCCGGGTCAAATCGATCTCTATTATGATCTAGAAGGAATTCACAGCCCTTCATTTCCTTTGGAAACCAAGTCATAACCTCTCCCCCAATGTAATACATTGTCTGATTTCCATTTTGAAGTTAAGACATTCTTAAAATATATAGGTTGATTTGATTTAGTAGTTTCCATAATCCAATGTCTCTCAGCAGCTATTGTCTATTGTACTTTAGCATTTAAAAAGTTCAATTAGCAAGATACTGTATAGGATCCAAACTCCCTGTGAATTTTCTATACTTATGTCTTTATTATTTTACTCTCTCTTTAAAACTATTATTTTAAAACTATTTTCCTATGACTGTCTATACCTATTTTTTTCCCCTTTAAGCCTACGCACATTTTTAAACACACTGTAACCTATTTAGAGTTTTTTCCCCACCTGAACCTGCATTACTGAGTATGTATCTATAACCTTTTCTGTCTGTTAGGGTTATAGGTGTGTACCATACCCATTTTTGTAAAATATTTTTTATTTTGTTGTATGAGTGTTTTGCCTGCATGTATGTATTTCTGCCCACCACATACATACCTGGTACTCAAGGAGATAAGAATAGGGCCTTAGACACCATAGCTGGGAATGAAAACCAGGTACTCTGCAAGAACAAGTCATTCTCTTAACCACTGAAACATCTCTCCAACTTCCTAATTCTGTCCCTTCACCTGGGATCCAAACTCGTGTCCTCATGCTCATACAGTAAGTGAGCTTATCCACGGAGCCATCTCTGTAGCCCCTTGTTACCTGTTTTGTTTGTTTTCTTTGTTGAGACAGGGTATCTCTTCACAGCCCTGACTGTCCTGGAACTCTGTAGACTAGGCTGGCCTCAGACTCAGACTCAAACTCAAACTCAGAGCTCCTTCTGTCTCTGTGTCCTGATTAGCTGAGTGCTGGGATTAAAGGCAAGGGCCACCAAAGATTCTTCCTTGTCTTTGAAATCAAAGCTCAACTCCCCCCCTACCCCTTCTTTTCTAGTAATCAGCCTCTTAAACACAAGGCAAATGCTCTACTGCTGAGCTATATGGAAAACCTCTTCTTTATTTCATTTTGGAACAGAGTATTGCTAAGTTGCTCAGAATTGTCTCTATAGGTCAAGCTGGCCTTGAACTTGTGATTCTCCTGAGTAACTGGAATTACAGGCCTTTACCACCAGCCTTGGCATTAAATTAACCTTCCTTCCTTCCTCCCTGCCTCCCTGCCTCCCTCTCCTGGCCTGGCCTGTCCCGTCCCGTCCCCCCCCCTTTCTCTCTCCATTTGGGAGTGTATTTATCTTGTATACATCTTGTATAACAACCACTTGGCTCTCCTATGGTGGTTAGCATAATTGACACACAGTAGATGTTCGATAAAATATGAGCCCTTAATTTGTGTATTTATAGTAGAAGCTAAACTGTAAAGGACATGTTTCTAGGATATATTCTAAACAGAAGTTCATAGAGTAGCTTGCTATGGGCTGGTATGAACTAAAACAAAACAAAAATAAATACTGAGCCAGGAGTGATGGCACATGTTTTTAGTCCCAACCCTTGGGAGGCAGAGGCAGGAGGATCTCTTTGAGTTCCCGGCCAGCCTGGTCTACAAAGCTACACAGGGAAACTCTGTCTCAAAAACTCAAAAACAAAACAAAACAACAACAATGAAAACCCAAATACTGAGCTGCTGAAGACAAGTAGAATTAACACACAGTCTCTGGGAGTGCCTGGGTTGTGTTTACTTACAGTAGAAGAGAAGAAGATCAAGTAACTCCGGTTCTCACGTGATGTGTATTGTTCCCAACAAAAAGGATGAGGTCAAATTGGCCCTATGGAAAAGTTGTCGTTGGTGGTGGTAGGCAATGCTGAGCAAACCTAGCCCTGCACTGCTAGGTTAGATGTCACCTTCCCAGCACTCAGTCACATTAGCATGGCAGGAAACTGTTACCCTGGCCTGTGAGAGCAGCTCAGATGCCTGTAGTTGCAGTGGCAGTTCCATGACTCCTACGCCACACGTTCTCTGAGGAGAAAAGCTGGAGTAAACCAGAGGGTATGAAGGGTGGCTCTTAGCAAGTGTTGCTAGGGATGACTGCTGTGTTTCTGGTGAAGGTACGATGTCTGTATCCTCGAAGTGAGTGAGGATGAAGAGATGCTTGTCCTTGGTGTCCTGCCCTGGTGCTGCACGGCCTGCCGAAGGCCTGCTATTGCAGGCTGAAATTCTGTGCTTCCCTTCAGTGCTACTGGAGCTCTTCCGGTTTATTAAGTTTGTGTTCGAATGCCACAGAAGTTTTAAACCTGGGCATTCACCAGCCTGTGTTCATTTTCACTTCCTCTTTCTTATATGAACTTCCCATGTAATCAGTTTCCACCCTTCTCCCTGCACTTTCCAGGTTGGATGACGATGACGTGGAGAGTAGGAGCTCCAGGGTGACCCAACTTTGCACTTACTTTCAGCAGAAATACAAGCACCTCTGCCGCCTGGAGCGGGCAGAGTCTCGACAAAAGAAATGCCGGCATACTTTTAGGAAAGCGCTGCTGCAGGCAGCCAGTAAAGAGCCCGAATGCACTGGCCAGTTGATACAGGAGCTGCGGAGAGCTGCGTGCAGTCGAGCCAGGTTAGCGCTGCTCAGACCAGGCCGCCGTTCTCAGGCCTCGTCTCCTTCTACATTGCTTCATATGACTTTTGAGCAATAGTCTAGGCATTGTGTAAGGTGAACGTGTTAGTTCCAAGTAGTTGAGCGCTGTATTGGTTTTGTTGTTCAGAAACAGTGCTGCCAAGGTGGTAGGAAAACACCGCCTTGAAATGAAAGCTTTCCCTTCCTTTTTTCCATAGTTGCATAAGAATTTATTCATTAAAGAGATTTGAGAATGTTATTTCCCTTATTTGTTTTGTGAACCAGTGTCATCCAGTCTGCCTTCAAACCCTGGATCTGCCTACCTTAGCCTCCTGAGTGCTGGGATGTAGCAGACATCACTTCATCTGGCCTAGAACATTGGTGGTCTTGAAAACAAAACAAAACAAGATTGAACACTTAAAATTTTCCTGTTATTTGAAGACATAATTATAGGTTTTTTTTGTTTGTTTGTTTTTTACGAGACAGGGTTTCTCTGTATTGTTTTGGAGGCTATTGGTCCAGCCCGGCCTCGAACTCACAGAGATCCGCCTGCCTCTGCCTCCCGAGTGCTGGGATTAAAGGCGTGTGCCACCACCGCCCGGCCATAATTATAGTTTTTTAAAGTCTTATATATCTTTATCCACAAAGGTAAACAGTATTTTTATATGCTTTCTTTTAATATGTATATTACCTTATATGTTCACACAGTTGATTATGTTTCTTTTTGTCTGTTTATTGAGACAGGCTCTCACTATATACTCAGGCTGGCCTTCAATTTGTGCTCTTCTTTCTCAGTCTCCCAAGTACTAGGGTTCCAGGCACATACTACAATATCTAGGAAATACAGGATTTTTAGTGACTGTGTAATACTTTCTCTGTTTTATGTATTTCAGATAAAATTGATCTGTATTGTTGAAAAGTTATTTGTTGGAGCTGGAGAGATGGCTCAGAGGTTAAGAGCACTGACTGTTCTTTCAGAGGTCTTGTGTTCAATTCCCAGTACCCACATGGTGGCTCACAACCATCTGTAATGGGATCTGGTGCCCTCTTCTGCCCTGCAAGCATACATGCAGGCAGAATGCTGTATACATAATAAGTCTTTAAAAGAAAAGTTATTTGTCAGTCTGGTATGGTATCAAACACTTGGAATACCAGCACTGTGTAGGCTGAGACAAGAAGGTCATGAGTTCAAGTCCAGCCTCAGCTACATGAGATTAAGACCACATCATAAACAAAGAAAAGAAAAAACACCCAAACCAAAAAGATTTGTGTTCAGTTTTTCCTTTTAAAAGTATATCATGGCCATTGTCCTACATTCTTAAGGATTCATTTGAAAATGTGGTTTTTGTTAAGTAAGAATCTTCATATTAGAAATCAGTTTGACTGTGAGCTTAGCCTTTAACGGCTGAACCATCTCTCCAGCCCAGAAATCAGTTTTATGCTATTTTGATGAAGAAATTTTAATAATAATTCAGTTATATACCTTTTAAGAATAGCTTATATACCAGGTGGTGTTGGTACATGCCTTTAAATCCCAGCACTTGGGAAGCAGAGGCAGGTGGATGTGGATTTCTGAGTTTGAGGTCAGCCTGCTCTACAGAGTAAGCTCCAGGGCAGCCAAGGCTACACAGAGAAACCCTGTCTCAAAAACCAAACAAACAAAAAGTTTATTTATAACAAATAAGTAAGTTGAATTTTCTAATCTCACTTATACATAATTCTGAAATATATATATTTATTGTGGTTATAACTATCTTTTAGTTCTACCTGAAATATATCTTTAAAGCATTGAATTGAGTTAAAAATTTCTTAAATATCTCACTCTAGGGAAATGAGGGAAAGTCCTTTTTTTTCTCCATTTTTTTTTTTTTTTTTTTTTTTTTTTTGTCTCAAGACAGTCTTGTCGTGTAGCCTTGACTGGTTTGGACTTAATATGTAGACCAGGCTAGCCTCAAGCTTACAGTAAACTGTCTCCACCTCTGCCTCCAAGTGCTGGAGTTACAGGAATGTGTTCCCGCTCCCCACCTAGGGAACTGCTTCTCAAATTTAGAATATCTAGCTTCTTACTGATTTAAAGAAAATTTATCCTTTCTAGTTTTTATAATTTCCGGTGTTCCCTTTAAGTGCATATATGTATGAAAAAGTAAGTTTACATACAAAAAATATGTCACTGATTGGACTATTGAATATTGAAAAGTATTAGTTTATATACGCTTAATTAGGTCTCCTATGCTAGATAGTCATTTTTATGGATACAGAAGCAAGGTGTTTTTAGTTCTGAGATCTCTAGTTGATGAACAGAATTTAACATTGAGACAGTTTGCCCAGTTCAATAGTTTGTGAAATAATAGTGCCTAACATTTTGTGATAGAAAGCTGTTAGCTGTGTAATATAAGTGAAATTATATCTCGAGCAGAAAGCAATTTCTGTATATAGGCATTGTATACCTCAGTTCTAATACATGATAATCTTGTCAGAGATGTGGGGGTCTGTAAATTGAGTTTATGGCAATTTGGTAGTGTGCAAAACTGTATTTATGATTCTTTTCTTTTTGGTGGTTCTGTGGGTTTAATCCAGGTATAACAATACACTAGTTTTCAGAACACCTCCCAAACCAACTTTAGTGATTTTTTTTTTTAATTAATGATTAGTGTTACCAAATGATAGAACCTTATGCATCCTGGTCAAGTACTCAACCACTGAGCCACATCCCCCAGCAGCCCAACTTGGTATTTTATCATTTCAAGTTCAATTCCAGTACTGGCTGACAAAATAAACCAAATAAACCAAATAAATAAATAAATAAATAAATAAATAAAGCAAATGCCTTTCAAAACTACTTGGTGTCATTTGTCATTAATCATGTAACCCGTGATTAATGAAACATTAGTATTTGGATATTGTTATTTAGTAGCATAGTTATCATAACATCTGTAGAGATAATGAAATTCTGGCTTTGGGTTTATGAGAGAGATTGGTAAACTGAACCATAAGTGAGATGATCCAGCAGGGAAAGCCATTTGCTCTTCAAGCCTGACGACCTGAGTTCAATTCATAGAACCTGCTTCACTGATTGTCCTCTGCTTCCTGAGTGCTGGGATTAAACACCCATGCCACCTGTCCCAGCAGGATATTTTATATTCCAATGATTCACTTTTCTACCTTTGTGAGGGCTTTGTTTTGTTTTGTTTGTTTGTTTTTGACAGGGTTTCTCTGTGGCTTTGGAGGCTGTCCTGGAACTCGCTCTTGTAGACCGGGCTGTCCTGGAACTCACAGAGATCTGCCTGCTTTTGCCTCCCGAATGCTGGGATTAAAGGTGTGCGCCGCTGCCACCACCACCCAGCGGTCTTTGTTTTTAAATTGTTTGTGTCTGTGAACATGCGTGTGTGTTTATGTGTGTGTCTGTGAACATGTGTGTGTAAATTGAAGGTGCCAGTTATGTCCTTTTACCATATGTGTTTTAGGGATTGAACTCAGATTGCAGATTTGGGGCAAGCACCTTTACCTACTGAGTCATTTTGCTAGTCCTTAAAATTCTTATTTTGTTTTGTGTTTTTTGTTGTTGTTGTTTTTTTTTTTTTTTTTTTTTTTTGTTTTTGAGAGAGAGAGTCACATAGCCAAGGCTGCTCTCGTGCTCCAGAAACTCCTGTTTCCAGTACCTTCCTAGTGCTACTATTGTGGACTTGTGTCCTAGTACCTGGCTTATACCATGCTGACAACTGAACTTAGGGCCTACTGCAGACATTGCATACTGATAGAATATAGCTTAAAAGACTTATGTGAAGTGATCAAAATAAAAATAGCATTTAAATAATGAAGCCTGGAGTTGTAAAATGTAGCAAGCTTTCTAAATGCATTCCAAGTAAGCACATTTTGAAGGATGTATATATAGCTTAACCATTTCTACACGTTCATGCTCCCTTTCCCAGTCATGCACCCAGTTATCTTTGTAGACTTGCTGTTTATTGGCACTAGGTGTTCAAATGGTCATGATAACAGTAGAGAGTGAAAACCACCTCTGTGGATTACTGTGCATCCTGTTCTCCATAGGTGGTGTGGTGTGCCACATCTCTCTACTCACGGCAGCCCTGCCAGCTAGATGCACCTATCGTCTCTGCTTTACAAGCGAAGTTGATAAGGCTTAGGGTAATCTGTGTAAGATGTCTCATCGTGAAGAGGGCCTGCTGCTTCATGGTCCTCATCACTTAGCCAGGGAGAGTGTCTAGGTTCATATATACAATTCCAGCACTCAGTAGGTGAAGGCAGAAAGCCAGTGTATGCCACATAGGGAGACCCTGTCTCAGAAAACAAGATAAAAACAAACTATCAGATTGGTGTATTTCTTTCTTTGTTGGGGGGGGGGGAGGATTCAAGGCAGGGTTTCTCTGTGTGGATGTGGAGCTTGCCCTGGAAGTAGCTCTTGTAGACCAGGCTCTTGTAGACCTCAAACTCACAGAGATCCTCTGCCTCCCAAGTGCTGGGGTTAAAGGCGTGTGCCACCACCGCCTGGCTTGATTGGTGTATTTCAAAACCACTGTGATTTAGCTATTTGCCTTGAATGTTAGTAGGACAGCTAAATAACACAGTTGATGATTGTAATACTTGCTTTCTTTAATTCGTACTTGTGTTTTGATGACTGTGCATAGTAAAGATAGTTACAGCGTGGGTCTTGCAGAAACGTAGTGTTGAATATTTATCCTGGGGGCCAAAGGAGATGGGCTGTGAGTGAGTAGAGATGCTCGCCATCCAGCCCAGTGACCTGCGTTTGGTCCCCAGTACCTACATGGTGGGAAGAGAACCAACTCCCTGGAGTTGTCCTCTGACCTCCACAGGTTTGCTTGTGCTTGTGCGTGCACACTCATAAAAATAAGAAGACATGCGTTTAAAAGGGGAAAAAATTACCCTGGGTTGTTAGAGCACTTAAAATGAATTTTGCCTTTTTCCTTCTTTAGCTTCAGCCAGACCAAGTTGAAGGAGGCGGAGCCAGCAGCATGCAGCGGAACAGTGAAGGGTGAACAGTGCTCTAACCAGGCCCTTCCCTTCACCAGACATTGTTTCCAGCGTATCCTTTGTAAATACATTAAGCAGGCAGTGGCGCCTTTGGGGCTTGTGCTTTTTATTTGTTTTGGTTTTGAACTCACTATTAGACCTGGCTGGAACTCACAGAGATCTTTCTGCCTTGTCCCCCCCAGCCCCCCATTAAAGGTGTGCACACTACCTCCTGGCTTGGGACTGTGCTTTTAACCCCGTGATTCTGGGGCCTGAAGTCAGACTCTTCCACATGTTACTCTCCCACTGTATTTTGTCTATTTCATTTTAAAATCAAGTGAGTGTTCCCTGCCACACTTCCTTTTGAGATAGAGTTTCACTATGCAGTTGAGGTTGGTCTCAAACTCATGAGTCTCCTGCCTCAGTGTCGACACTGTTGAGATTCCAGTTGTATACCACTATCATGTCTGGCAAAACAAAACAAAAACACCCTATTCCATGTTTAGAATACTCTTGACATAATGTCTAATTTTCATATAGTCCTGATTAATTTTCTGGTTCTGTCACTTTGCTTACTTTTAAGCTTGTGTATACTTCATTCATTACACTGAGTTTGGAAAGCCAGACTTGTGAGTGCAAACTTGTGCTCTTTCTTCTCTCACAGAAGGAGGGAGTGAAGATCTGTGCCAGGGCTTAGAGCCCCTCAGAGGGGCAGCAAGCAGGTTCCCTTCATGGCTGCTGCTGAAGTACTTCTTAGTATTTCTTAGTACTTCATATGGAAGGCTGGTCTTTAGTGCTGCTAGCCTGTAACTGTTTGATGGAACAGTTGATGGAAAATGATTGATGGAAAATCAAATCACTTCTTTTGTTGTTTGTTTCTTGAAACAGGGTTTCTCTGTGGAGCCTTGGCTATCCTGGAACTTGTTCTGTAGACTAGGCTGGCCTCGAACTGAGGGTCTATCTGCCTGTGCCTTCAGAGTGCTGGCATTAAAGGCTTGCACCTGGCACTCTCCTCACTTCATTTATTTGTCTGTCTATTTTTCATGTATTTATTTATTTAAAGACAGGATTTTAGTAGCCCTAGTTACCCTTGAATTTACAGTGTAAAGTCATTTCTTTTTAGTTTTGTTTTTTGAGAAAGGGTTTCTCTGTAGCTTTGGAGGCTGTCCTGGCACTTGCTCTATAGATCACACTGGCCTCGAACTCACAGAGATCAGCCTGCCTCTGCCTCCTGAGTGCTGGGATTAAAGGCATGTGCCACCACAGCCCGAGTCATTTCTTTCTTCTCACCTCTATGTGTGTTCTGTGGATTGAACTGAGGTCGGCAGGCTTGCAGAGAAAGCTCCTTTGCCCACTGAGCCGTCTCACTGGGCCAGTGCTCTGAGTTTTGTTGTTGTTGTTGTTGTTTTTTTGGTTTTTCAAGACAGGGTTTCTCTGTATTGTCTTGGAGTCTGTCCTGGAGCTCGCTTTGTAGACCAGGCTGGCCTCGAACTCACAGAGATCCACCTGCCTCTGCCTGCCGAGTGCTGGGATTAAAGGCGTGCGCCACCAACGCCCCGGCCAGTGCTCTGAGTTTTACCAAATATCTAAAACTGGAGTAGCATTTAAAATACTTGTTTTTGTTTCCTTCAGACAGGGTCTTGCTATGTAGCCCTGGTTGCTAGTGAATTTTTGGTGGCCATTCCTCACCTTCCTGAGTGCTGAGGTCACACGCTTGTGTCATCACACCCAGCTAAAAATATTTTATATTAGCACCCACTCTAATTTGAAATCTTTATTTTGTATGTATGTATGCATGCATGTATGCATTTGAGATATGGTGAATTAGGTTATAGCCTCACTGTGTCACTAGGTAACCCTGGCTGGCCTGAAACTTGATTCAACTCCCCTCCCCTTCCCCAAATACTGGGATTGCTCATCTGTGATGGTGTCCCTGGGTGGGTGTGTTTCTCCTTCCTTCCTTCCTTCCTTCCTTCCTTCCTTCCTTCCTTCCTTCCTTCCTTCCTTCCTTCCTCCCTCCCTCCCTCCCTCCCTCCCTCCCTCCCTCCCTCCCTCCCTTCCTCCCTTCCTACAGGGTTTTGTTGTGTCTCCTAGGTTTGCTTCACATTCTCAGGTTCAATTTTTGCCCCCCTTCCTGTCTTGTGAATTGTGTCTACATAGGTTCTTCTGTAACAGTTTATATATAATAAGTATAAGCCAAAGGGGAAATACAACGTACTTTCTAAATAGAAAACAAATCTTTATTTATTTATTTTCATTTGTATTGTACTGAAAATTGAATGGAGGGCCTCATACATGTTTCCAATGTGACCTGCTAACAAGCTCTGCCCTCAGCCCAGAAAACAAATCTTGTGATAATTCGATGGCAAAAAAAGACGAACCTTCCTTTTGTCTTTTTCTCTTCTTTTTCTTGGGAGGGTGGTGGTCTTTTGAGGTGTTCCTACTCTCTATAGTCATGAGTTTAAGGCTAGCTTAAGCTACATAGCAAGATCCTGTCTAAAAACAAAATTAAAAAAAAAAGGCACAGACATTCCAGGTTGTTTTTTTTTTTTAAAGATTTATTTATTATATATTCAGTGTTCTGTCTGCATGTATCCCTGCAGGCCAGAAGAGGGCAGTAGATCTCATTACAGATGGTTGTGAGCCATAATGTGGTTGCTGGGAATTGAACTCAGAACCTCTGGAAGACCAGCTAGTGTTCTTAACTACATAGCCATCTCTCCAGCCCAACATTTCATTTTTATTAGGGTTTTAATTTCAAATTATTTTTATCATTCATTTTTGAGTTAGATTTTGATCCTGGAAATTTGAACTGAAAAATTCAACCTTGGACAGGTGGGTTTTTTATTTAAATTTTCATTCTTCTTGGTGAATATCTTAGGAGAGAGTTTCCTTTTCAAATGCTGGTTTAGGGGATGGAGAGATGACTTGTCAGTTAAGAGCACTTGTCGCTTGCTCTTCCAAAGGTCCTGATTTCAGGTCCCAGAACCCACATGGTAGCTTAACTGTCCATTCCAGTGGGGCTGACATATAAACATTCAGGCAGAACACCCATACGTAGATACAATAAAATACCTAAGTGCTGGTTTCAGAACCATCTTTTTAGTGGGGATTTTAGGAGCATGTTAACAAGAAAATTATCTTGTTTATTCAAATTACAGAAATTAGTTCAGAATGGCCCTAAAGACTTGCCTGAGAGCCTGCTAGCTAAGTAGACTCCTTCCGAAGTGTCAGTTGATAAATAATGATGATATGTCACTATTCTCATTTTCTCCCGTCAGCAGTTGGACAGTGCAATTCTTGCTAATAAAACACAAGTAAAGAAAGTAGCACCTTTTATTCAGACACCAAGAAAGAGTTAAACAGCGTGAGCATGCTTTCTCCCTGACTGCAAACCCCAGATATCCTTTTGAACCGCTCTCAGCAGCTGTTCTCCAGCTGCACCGCCAAGTTTGCAGACGGACAGCAGTGCTCTGTGCCAGTGTTTGACATTACACACCAGACGCCCCTGTGTGAAGAGCATGCCAAAAAAATGGTAAGTGTAGGTTTGTGTAAGCCCAGCAGCTGGGGCTTTCAACAGTTGATGATTGTTCCTACTGGGAACTGATAGCTACGAGGTACATATGTGATAATTTTATGTGTGTGTGTGTGCGTGTGTGTGTTTGTATCTATATATGTGGAAGTATTGTTAAAACAGTGATTTTAATACTTTGAAACTCTGTATTGTGTTACCATTGACTATAAAATTTCAAAATGTGTTAACCTTTTGAATTTGAGGCTCTTTTTTTTTTTTTTTTTTGGTTTTACGAGACAGGGTTTCTCTGTATTGTTTTGGAGGCTGTCGGTCCAGCCCAGCCTCGAACTCACAGAGATCCCCCTGCCTCTGCCTCCCAAGTGCTGGGATTAAAGGCATGCGCCACCACTGCCCTGCGAGGCTCTTTTTATAACAAAACCAAACCCCCATTGTTTGGTTTGTGAATATTTAGTGAAGTTTGAATGTCTCTAATCCAAAAACCCAAAATTATAGATTTCATATGACAACCAAAAAGTACAGGTTTTGGAGCCCTCCGAATTTTGGTTTTAAGATTTCTGGAATTGGGGTTGCCATATGTAAATTCTATGCAAATATTAAAAGAAAAAAACCTCAAAACACTTGTGGTCCCTCGGTGTTTCAGGTGAAATACACTAAACCTGTATTTACTTAGATAAGATACTTTTTAAAGTCATTTGTCTACCTTTCTTTATGTCTCACATACCCACATACAATAAAGATATATTTTCTGATAAAAGATTTTTTGAACTGTCTTTGCCTTCAGTTTTGCTTTTTTATATGCAGTTCTGGGAGTGGTCTGGATATTTAATAAAATTCAGGCAAAATACCAAGATTTTCTATAATTTTGTTGAACTTAATTATTGCTTTTGTTAATGCTGGCATCATGAATCCTAATTAAGTTAGAATAATTTAGAGGAGAGACACATTTGAATTAGTCAAATGTTTGCATTATGTACTTGTTTCGAATGATTTGTTTTGGGGTGAAGTTAGCTTCGTAGTTGCATATTTGCCTGTCAGGAACAAGATTCTGGGTTGATGCCAGCATAGAAAAAACAAAACCCTCAAAGTCGAGTTATCTTGTTTCTGTCCATCAAGCAGTTGTAAGATACTGTGCTGGGTGCCCGCTGTATCACAGGGCTGAGGGAGTGCCTTGTGTTCTCTGAGAACACTTCAGGGTGATGGACTGGGGGCTGGACTGTGGTTCTGGCGTTTTCATTAGCTGTCCAGTTAGGCAGAGAAGCCACCTTCCTGGGCTGTTCCCTTGTTAACATACTGGCTTTGTCAAGGACTTCTTTTGTGTTTAGTTCCTTATTAGGATCATGTTTTGAAAAATTTGAATACTAAACTTAATGTAGAAATGTTGAATTCATTTTCCTATTTATTTAAAATATATTTTAAGTGTGGGCATTTTTCTTAAAAAGTTTATTCAGGCTTTATGTGAATGAAGGATGTTTTTATGTGGTGTGTGTGTTTCTGTACTTTTGTGAGCTAGGGTGTCACTCTGTACGCAAGCCAGCCTAGAACGCACCTCAGCCACCCGAATACTAAGATTACAAGTGTGAGAACCACCACACCCAGCTAGCTTCCTGTATGCTTTTGTGTGTGTGTATCTGTGTGTGTGTATCTGTGTGTGTGTGTGTGTGTGTGTGTGTGTGCGCGCGCACTTGCATGCCTAGATGCCAGATGGATTGATGGTGAGTGTCTTTGTGGTTCTTCTCATCCTCATCTTTTGAGGCAGCTTCTCCTACTGAGCCTGGAGCCCACTGATTGGTTTAACTGAATGCCTGGCCAGTTTCGGACATGAGCTTGTCTCTGCCTCCCCAGTGCTGGCATTATAGATGTCTGGTGCTGTGCCCAGCTCTGTACGGAGGTCCTCATGCTTGAGCAATACCAAGCAGGCCATTTCCCAGGCCTCTGTGTGCATTTACTGTCTTGCGGACCTTGGCTGGTAATTCCATAGATCCCTGTTGATGGGACCCTGTGGCTTTCACAGCAGTGTAGATCCAGCTCTGTATCTGATGTCATCCCACATTCATCCAAGACCAGAATCGGCTCTACATGACTTAACAGGAGCTAACATGAGCTTTTTTCTTTTTGCTGCTGGTGGGGGTTTGAGATAGTATCTTTTATATCCCAGGCTAGCCTTGATCTGGCATGGAGCTGAGGATGACAGTAACTTCTGACCTTCCAACTTCTACCTCCTAAGTGCTGGGATGACAGGCACACGCCTGGTCCACCCACATCAGCAAGCACTCTGCCATATCTTCAGCACTGGCTTTAAAAATAAATCTGTCATTTAAGAGCCTATACTTACGTTGGGCAGTGGTGGCGCACCCTTGTAATCCCACCACTTGGGAGGCAGAGGCAGGTGGGTCTCTTTGAGTTTCAGGCTAGCCTGGTCTACAGAACAAGTTCCAGGACAGCCAAGGCTGTTACACAGAGAAACCCTGTTTTGAAAAAACAACAACAACAACAACAACAAAAAACCCAAGAGTCTGCACTTATGTTTACATGAAGTATTCCTTTCAGAATTCTTGATTTTGTGCTTTCCTAGTCTTTTTTCCTGGTTTGAATTTGATACTAATGGTGTTAGTGTCCAAACACTACTATCTGAAGCTTCTTAGCTATTTAATTAAGAGCTATTCCAGGGCTCATAGAATGAATGAAGAGTGATATCAACTGTTTAAACACTGTCACCAGGAAAAAAATGTTTCTAGTTGTAAATATAATGCTTTTTGATAGGTTGGAAATTTTGTTTTATAACTATTTGTTAAAGACCTGTTCAGATACAGATCTTAATCTTCTTCCTAGTCTCAGCTATATATTTGACATGCAAAGGGAAGTGCTTTCTTTGTTCTGAAACTGTAATACAACTTAATCTACCTTGTACTTTGTTTTCCTTTCTCATGGGTCATTGCTTTGAGAAGAGAGCCTGTGGTTTGCTCTTCAATAATAAGTGTTTGTTTCACTAGTATCAATTTTGTACCCTGCTACTCTTTGTGCCTTTCTGGTACACTTTTTGTTGTTGTTGTTTTTGCCTATCCTGTACCAGCAGTTTATATAACTTAATTCAAGCAGTGATAATATGAACTATAACCATGTTTGATGTGTTTATAGGTAATGCCACTTGTGACCATTATCTGGCTGACAGCAACTGCTAAGATGTCAGCAGTTATAAAGCGCTCCTCAATTGCAGAGATAGTAAAACATGCATCTTAGCATTTCTGGAATAGTGTCTTAGTTCAGGTAGCTGTCACAGACTAGTAGAATGACTGGCTTAAGCACAACTGAAACTTGTATCACATGCTTAGCAGATGCTAGGGCTCCAAGGACAGAGTGTGAGGAATAAATGATGGCAGTGTAAACTTGGGAGGTCGTGGGGCTTGCTCTCTTTTCATCTTCACATTTCTTTATTTGTTTGGCATATGTGCATGTGTGTGGGCACATAGGACAACATGCAGAAGTAGATTCTTCTTCTACTATGTGGGTTCTAGGGATGAACTCCAGTGTCAGGCTTGATGGAAAGTACCTCTTTGCAACAGACTTTCTTTTGGGCCACCAACCAGCTCCCAAATCATCACAGAGAAACTTAATTTTAATTATGAATGCCCAGCCTTGTCTTATGAATGTCCCACTAGCTCTTATAACTTAATGTAAGCTGTTTCTCATCATCTGCACTTTGCATTGGGGCTTTTACCTTTCTTTAATTCTGTGTGTCCTACTCTGTGTCTGACTGACTGGTGACTGTCTGGCCCTGGGCGTTTCCCTCTGTTTCTCTCTCCTCTTCAGCCTAGATTCCTTTTCCTACTTATTCTCTCTCTGCCCAGCCCTGCCTATCCCTCTTCTGCCTAGCTATTGGCCATCCAGCTTTTTATTAGACCAATCAGGTGCCTTAGGCAGGCAGAGCAACAAATATTTACATCATTAAGCAAATGCAGCATAAACAAATGGTTTTTATTTTTGGAGACAGGGTTTCTCTGTGGCTTTGGAGGCTGTCTTGGAACTAGCTGTTGTAGACCAGGCTGGTCTGAAACTCACAGAGATCTGCCTGCCTCTGCCTCCCTAGTGCTGACATTAAAGGTGTGCACCACCACCGCCTGGCTAGCATAAACAAATGTAACACATCTTAGTCTAGTTAAAGTAATATTCCACAATATCTTTTACCTGCTAAGCCATCTGGCTTTTCCCCATGGGGTTTGCTCTGGTTTGCAGAGAGGGCCCAGCAGCTCCTCTCTTGTATCACTTTCATACGTGCATAATCCTCTCATGAGGTTTCTAGTGACTAAAGGTCCTGTTTCCTGGTGTCATCTCATTGAGGGTTAGGAACTCAAACTTTGGGGTGAAAAAAATATCAAGCCTGTCTCAGATAGTAGATAGAGTTGAATAAAGACCCTAAAAGCTGAGGGTATAGCCAGGTGGTGGTGGCGCACGCCTTTAATCCCAGCACTCGGGAGGCACAGGCAGGTGGATCTCTGTGAGTTCGAGGCCAGGATAGTCTCCAAAGCCACAGAGAAACCCTGTCTTGAAAAACAAAAAAACAAAACAACAACAAAAAAGCTGAGGTTATAATTGACAGTTTCTGATTCCTTTGCGGCTCTCTCCCCTTACCTCTTCCCGCAGCTCTTATGCAGCCTTGTCCTTACTTTTCTCTTTGTTTCTGCTTTCCTGCCCATATATATTTCTTAAATGACTCCTACTGTGCCTTGGATCCCCTCAGTCTGCACCTCCTCTGGCCATTTCCTTTGGCTATCTAAAAACCTACATATCTCAAATTGTATGTAAGCCAAAATAAATGCCTGGACTCCTCTTCTGAATTTGCAGCTTCTGTTGTTAACGAAGGAACATGGGCCCTGCACCCCAGCGGAGTTCCAAATGCAGCCTAACACATTTGTAGGCCATGTCAAGTTGCAATTTTGGAAGGCTGTACAAACACTGAACTAATGGTAATTGTCATTAGACAGTCAACCCAACTAGAATCTCTAGAGGTGTTTTAGTCTCATACTCCTTTTAACCTCACCACATCTAAGGAACTTTCAAATATTAAGAGTTCTCTGTTGGAGCTGAGGGTGTAACTCAGTGTGCTTAGCATGCGTGAAACCTTAGGTTCACTTGCCAGCAGCAAAACAAGACCAGTCCAAATTTAGGGCTGCAGGTGGCTCATTGACTAAGACCTCTTACTTAACAATCACAAGGACGAGTTCTGTACCCACCGAACAAGCTGGGCGCCTCACAGATGCCTGGAACCAGCTCCCAGAGATCCAGTAATCTATTTTGACCTTGGCATGTGCACATACCTGTGCACACATGTACATACATTCATGTAGACATACGCATAAATAAGTAAATAATGGAATAAACCTTTTAAAAAGTTTCAATTTGACAAGCCCTTGATTCGTTTTCTTGAGTATTGAGATGGCTGGCCCTCCAAAGGGAACCCTGACCTACACCTATTCATCCCTACACTGCTGCCAGGCTGGCTTATCTTGTGTGTAACATGTTTGTCATGTGTACTTCTGTGGATGGGGAAAAGTCTCATTGCCTATTCAAGTTTAAAATTGAGATACTCAGAATCATACATGCTCTAGCCCTAAGCGTCTTCACCAGTTCACTTGTAAGCTTTTCCTTGTTTGTGCTATTTCCTTTGGCCCCTTATCCATCCATATCTGTTGTTCATTTTCTGTGTGTTGTGTTTATGTGTCCTTTTCTTGATGTTTCCCCATGGGAAGGGTAAGTTCTTGGAGAACGCAAACTATCATAGCATCTTGTCTGTTTGTTGGCTTTGCTGGCAATCAAACCTTGGCTTACACATATCCACCATCGCACTACACACCTAGCCCTCAAAATGTCTTTAAGTGTGTGTGGGGGGTTGATGTGAAGTAAGTCACATATTTTGTACATTTGTACATTTATTATTGTATATAGCTTTAGGCATTATATAGTCTAGTAAGAGAAATTTTTGATAATTTTTTCCAGATAATCTCATTTTTAGATAATTATTTTTATGTGTATGAATGTTTTGCCCATGTGTATGTATGTATGTATGTATGTATGTATGTATGTATGTATGTATAGGACTAGAGTTCAGATAATGCAGGTGCTGGGAATGGGACCCCGATCCTCTGGAAGAGCAGCCAGTGCTCTTAACTACTGAGACTTGTCTTCTGCCCTAGATAAATTTGTTTTAACTTGTACACAAAAATTAGTGTAATAATGTAATATATTATACAATATATTTAAATTGTGCAAAGCAGATCTTTCAAATACTTAGCTTTTTCTTTCGGAGACAGGGTCTTGTGTGGATCTTGAATTTCTGACCCTCCTGCCACTGTCTGGCGAGCACCACCACACCTGGTTTTAGGCGGTGCTGGGGATCCAACCCAGGGCCCTGGACATGCCTGGCAGCCACTGTACCTGCCTAGCAGCACCCCAGCTCCTCGTTCCTGTGTACTGAAAAGTTAAGCTTTCTTCTAGTTTTGTAATGTAGAGAGGCTTACTGACCTGTAGTAACCCTGCTGTGCATGACATACCAGGAGTAAAGGGTAGTGGGGTCAGTTTTTTAACAAATCTTCTGTTCATTTCAAAGGATAATTTCTTGAGAGGAGATAACTCCCGTAAAGTTCAGCACCAGCAACAGAGGAAACCTAGGAAAAAAACGAAGCCCCCTGCACTTACCAAAAAACACAAGAAGAAGAGAAGGCGTGGACCTCGACGACCCCAGAAACCAATTCCCCCTGCAGTGCCCCAAGGGAACCTCAGCATGCCCACCAGCGTCTCACTGCCAGTGGAGGCCTCACAGATCCGGTCAGTGGGGGCAGTGGGTGTACCTCCTCTGTGTGTTGAGACCTCAGAACACCGCCTGCTGGGTTCAGAGTCACTTGTAACCTCCACAGCCCCACCCTTTAACAGTCATAGACCAGCCAGTGGCTGGCCACACTTGCAGTACACATCCATCCGTGTCAACTTCTTATTATGGCAAGGAAAACAGATGCAGACATTGAGAATATAACTGCAGCCTCAGGTTTTTGTGTTTTAACAGAAATTATACACAATATAATAGAATTATTTCACTGGAAATATGATTTTTAATTTTGGCAGACTTAAACATTTTTTTCAGATGAATTTCAGTTCAGTCTTGTCCAAATTAAAAACTTTAATTTTTAAAGTTATTATCTTGATCAGATTTGAAATTTTTTTAAAACATAGATATACTGAAAGGTGATTCATCCTATTAATTTGAAGGGAACTATGATGTGGTAATGGTCATCTTAATGGGTAAAGGCTGTAGGAATTTGTGACTGTGTAGTGAGGTGTGCCCTTCTGCAACTTTTTCTTCTCAGATTTCCTTCTCATAAAGTGAGGAGAAATCTTATTCATTTATTTATCCATTTATTCATTTATGTATTTAAGGCAATCTCATATATTCCTAAACATCTTTACCTCATGTAGTTGCCAGTGACCTAAATTTCTGATTCTCTGGCCTTTACTCCCCAAGTGTGGGGACGGCGGGCATGTGCCAGCTGCGGGCTTGTGCTAGTGACAGCTTTGGGAGGAGTTGCTTTCTGTTGCTGGCTCTTGTGTTTGTACTGAATGTCTAGAGAACCTGAGATGCATAGCCAGGGGACGTGGAGCAGTCTAGACTAGCTGTGCTGTCTTTGCAGTAGCCCTTCCACGCCAGAGCTGAGTGCCGATGAGTTGCCGGATGACATTGCCAACGAGATCAGTGACATTCCGCATGACTTAGAATTGAACCATGAAGACTTTGCGGATGTCCTGCCGCGGCTGCCTGATGACTTACAAGATTTTGATTTCTTTGAAGGTATGGTTAATGTTTTACTTAAGGAACTGATTTAGAAATGGTTCATAGGGGGCCTGGAGAGATGGCTCAGAGGTTAAGAGCATTGGCAGGTCTTCCAGAGGTCCTGAGTTCAATTTCCAGCACCCACATGGTGGCTCACAACTATTTGTAATGAAATCTGGTGCCCTCTTCTGGCGTGTAGATATACATGCAGGCAGAACACTGTATGCATAATAAAGAAATAATTTTTAAAAAGTGGCTCACCGGGCGTTGGTGGTGAGTTCCAGGACAGCCTCAAAGCCACAGAGAAACCCTGTCTCGAAAAACCAAAAAGAAAAATAAATAAATAAAATAAAATAAAAAGTGGCTCATAAGAAGGGAAATAAGTTTTATTTTACTTTTGGCTGTTGAGACAGGCTGTTTTTTTGTTTGTTTTGGGTTTTGGGTTTTTTGTTTGCTTGTTTGTTTTTCGAGACAGGGTTTCTCTGTATTGTTTTGAACTCTGTCCTGGAACTCCCTCTGTAGACCAGGCTGGCCTCAAACTCACAGAGATCCGCCTGCCTCTGCCTCCTGAGCGCTGGGATTAAAGGCGTGCACCACCAATGCCTGGCCTGAGACAGGCTGTTAACCACATTGAATTCACAATGTCCCTGTCTGGAGTCCTGGGATTATGGCTAGTGTCACCAAATCTATCCTAGAAATACTAATTACTTTTATTATTGCTGTGTGCATGATGTGTGTGTAGGTTTGCTCAACAGGCATGAATGTGGAGGGCAGATAGCTGGGGGAGTGCACTCTCTTCTTCCACCTTCCCGTGGGCTCCAGGGATTACACCCAGATTGTTCTGCTGGGCATGTACCCTTACCCACCGAACCATCTACTGACCAGTTTATTATTCATTTTTTAAAAATATAGCCTTTTGCAGTGTATCTGAAATGTGTTCCCTGACAAAAAATGTCTGTCACTGCAAATAAAAAAATCACTAAAATTGTTTTCAGAAGGTGAAAAATATATAATTTATTTAATCATATTACATACTTAGTAGACTTATACTTTAATAGCTATGCAATTTTGTTCCATTAAAGTGAATAATTTTCCTTCATGTTTTGAAAGTGCCATTCAACGACATACCAGTTTATTAAAATCTTTTACAGCTTGACCTGTGTTTGGAGCCAGGCATGGTGGTGCATGTCTGTGACCCAGCAAGTGCTGGGATTAAAGGTGTGCACCACCACACCCGGCCAAGGAGGAAGACTAAAGAGTATGAAACATACTTTGAGAGGCCACTCATGGGATTGGAGAGGTGGTTAAGAACACTTGTTGCTTTTGTAGAGGATGCAAGTTGGTTGTCCTCATCAGGTTGTTCATAACCACTTCTTACTCCAGCTCCCAGAGATGTGACACCCTCTTCTGGATACCACTGGTATTGCACTCACTGTCGACACAGCCTTAGATACATATATCCAGATCTTTAGAAAGAATAAATCTTTTTAAAAAAGAAAAGAAAGGCAACTTTTGGAAGAAACTGAGTGCTTACCATTAAATACATGCATGGATTCTGTGTTCTCATCTCTAGCCAGAAGAATGTAGGTACAGACAAAGTAATATATGCCTGTCTGGTTCTCTACCACCACCTTTTTATGTTAATGGTATCAGTATCATTTTAGGTGAAAAATAACGTATGATCAAATGGACATTGAGTTTTAAATTGGTAACCCTTTAGACTTCCTAAGAATTCAACATTCCAAGGGCTGGAGAGAATGCTCAATGGTAAGAATGTCTTCACTCTTCCAGAGGGCATGACTTTAATTCACAGCGCCCTCATTGGGCAGCTTACTATTGCTTGTGGCCCCAGCCCCCAGATGCAACACCCTGGCCTCCACAGGCACCCACACGCATGTGGCAGAAGTTAACACAGACACACTCATAAATAAACATGACAAGAATTGGCACACTCCTTTAATCTCAGCACTTGGGAGACAGAGACAGGCGGATCTGCACGAGTTTGAGGTCAGCTTGGTTTATATAGTAAGTTTTAGGTCAGTCAAGGCTCCATAGTGAAATCATGTCTGAAAATGAACCAACAAACAACAACAACAACAAAATACATTTATGGTAGATTTCTGAGAATAAATAAGTTAAAGGTGGTAATTGAAATTCCAGGAGAGCTGACATTTAAGGCTTGTCCTGCAGATCAGTATTTCACGTTTTCTTTCTAATCCCATTATAAGAAACTTGTTTTCATTGGGCAGTGGTGGTACACACCTTTAATCCCGGTACTTGGGAAGCAGAAGCAGGTGGATCTCTGTGAATTTAAAGTCAGTCTGGTCCACACAGGAGAGTCGCAGGACATCCAGGGCTGTTACACAGAGAAACCCTGTCTCGAAAAAGAAACTTTTCTCTTTTCACAAAGGACTTTTTTTTTTTTTTGAGACAGGATCTCAGTATTGTCGCTATACAGTCCTTGCTGGCCAGGAACTTGCTAGACCAGGCTGACCTGGAACTCAGAACTCAGAGACCTCTGCCTCCTTAGTTCTGGAATCAAAGGTGTGTGCCATTAAGCCTGGCAAGGACTCTTTTGTGATAGGATAGTGTTTAAAATACTCAGACATGTGACTTGCTGTGTGAGTCAGCTATGCGCTCTACTGATACTGCCGCCTTTGGTTGCTGCAGGAAAGAATGGAGATCTCCTCCCGACCACCGAAGAAGCCGAGGAGCTTGAGCGGGCCCTGCAAGCTGTAACTTCTCTCGAGTGCCTGAGTACAATTGGGGTACTTACCCAGTCAGACGGTGTGCCAGTTCAGGGCTTGTCAGACAGAGGAATGGGGGTGTTCTCGACGGGTGCCGATGCCTCGGGGATCCAGTCCTTGAGTCGAGAAGTAAACACGGACCTAGGGGAGCTACTTAACGGACGTATAGTACACGATAGCTTTTCTAGTCTGGAGCTGGACGAGAACCTCCTCCGTTCTGCTACCCTGTCTAACCCACCCACACCCCTGGCAGGGCAGATCCAGGGGCAGTTCTCTGCCCCAGCCAGCGTTGGCCTTACTTCTGCCACTCTGCTCAGCCAGAGTGCACTTGGGGAGAGAGCCTTCCCAGGACAGTTTCATGGACTTCATGATGGCAGCCATGCCTCCCAGAGGCCACATCCTGCCCAGCTGCTGAGCAAGGCAGATGACCTAATCACCTCACGACAGCAATACAGCAGTGATCATTCACACTCCTCACCCCATGGAAGCCATTATGATAGCGAGCACGTGCCGTCGCCCTACAGTGACCATATCACCTCTCCCCACACATCTTACTCTGGTGATAATATGGCAGCTACCTTTTCAGCAGAGATGCCCATCATGGCACAGCACTTGCTCCCCACCCAGCTTGAGGTGCCACTTGGAGGAGTGGTCAACCCCAGAACTCACTGGGGGAGTCTCCCCGTCAACCTTGGCGATCCCTCTGCATTTAGCAACCTCCTCGGCGCGGATGGACACCTTCTTTCCACTTCCCTCTCCACGCCACCCACCACGTCCAACTCAGAGACCACACAGCCTGCCTTCGCCACCGTTACCCCAAGCAGTTCCAGTGTGCTTCCGGGGTTACCACAGACCAGCTTCAGTGGCATGGGGCCTTCCGCTGAACTAATGGCCTCCACGTCTCCCAAGCAGCAACTCCCGCAGTTCAGCGCAGCCTTCGGCCACCAGCTGAGTTCTCACAGTGGCATTCCTAAGGACCTGCAGCCCAGCCACAGCTCGATAGCCCCTCCTACAGGCTTCACAGTAACAGGTGCCACGGCTACAAGTACCAATAATGCATCTCCCCCCTTTCCCGCCCCCAACTGAGCGAGTCTGTGTGCTTGCAGGCAGGTGGAACCTGGTGTTTTCTATCTTTGTTTCCTCTTTTGCACCCCTTTCCTCTTTTCCTCCAGAAGATTTAAAGAGTAACAGCGGGGATTAGCGGGACTCCCCCTTCCCAGTCTACAAGTGGCCGTGCAGGGGACCTTGTCAGTGTTCACATGTGCTCCTCAGCACTGGTGCTCTTTCCCTCCTGGCGGGTCCTCTCAGCCTGGCGGCTTTCTCTGGTGGCTCAGCACAGCGACTGGATAGGATTGTTTTTTTCTTTCAGCAAGTCCTAGAAGTGGAAGATACCTCAGATTACCAGTGCCCTTTACTATTTCCTAGTGTTCAGATCAATGATTTCCATTCTCTAGCCAGGTTTTTACATAGGTTGTTCTAGATAGAGTGGTCCTATTGAGATCCTGTGTAGCAGATGGTGTGTGGAGGCAAATCAGAGCTCTGACTTAGCACCACCTGCCAAACACCATGGTGAGGCCTGGATGCCATTCCTAATTGTGATGTGGTTAACTGAAAAGAAAATCGTCTCTTGACTGCCTGTGAATGCGTGTTCACCCCTGTGTGTGTTTCGTAGCTGTCATGTTTTGTTGTTTTGTTTTTCTCCCAGAAAAAGGCTCTTTTTCCCTCCTTCCGTCTCATACCTAGCAAGGTTGGCCCTTCTTTCTGACTGAGTTGACTAAAGCATCCTGAATAAGGAGGGGGTAGATGATCTGTTAGTGTTAGCACAGCCCTTTCTTGCTAAATATCAGCCTATGAAGAGAGGAACCACAGAAGGCTGAAGTCACCTCAGTTATAGGTAGTGTCATGGCAACTAATCTTGGGTGGCGGCAGGGCTGCTCAGGGTTAGGGTCTCACGGTCACTTTGCCTTTTCCATGTGTATTTGTCCCCAAATCCCTCCCTCATGGAACACATTTGCAAGTTGTAATTAAAGAAGATATTTTGATGTGAAAAAGCAGGCTATACCAGATAGGTTTGGAAGACGACATCAGTGACCTGTGTGGTCTGTCATTTGCTCCTAGTTTTTAAATGTTTACAGTTGTGGTTCTTTGGTGAGACTTGTGAACTGTTGAGGACACGTGTAGAAGCCGTGTACCAGTTGTGAAGTGACGTGTAATATCGGAAGGACACACATTTTAAAGTTTCTTTCAAAACAAAATATGGAAATTAGACATAAATTGGACTTACCTTAGGTACTTTTAAAATAAGCACTTACGGTGAAGTAAATTTGGAAATTCTTTTAAAGCACCAAGGCTTTAGGGTAAAAATGTTATTGGTTAGTGCAGTAAGTTGGTGACTCTGAAGTGATGTGTGGGTTTCTTCTTGCCTGCCTTCCTCTCCAGAGAAGAGTGGAGCTTCACTTTCTACTCTTGTTTGCCGAGGTTTCGCTGTCCCTTCGGATTCCATTGGGTATTCACACCTGAGGTCAATCTCATTTACATATGTATATTTAAAAAATAAGACAACATATCTATTAATGATGTGGTACAGTAATTCTTTTGTCAGGGACTGTTTGATCATAATTCCTTCCTAACAAGTAAAGGTCGGAACATTTTTTCCTCCTCCTTATGTGTGTTTTCTTCATGCCATGCTAGTTCTAGCCAGTCCCTTCTGTTGAAGGCTTTGCTTTCTCTGCCTTGTGACGGACGGAATGATGGTGATGGGCAGGCATTATGCAGATACCATGTGCCTGAGCTTCTGGAGGGAAAGTCACATGACTGTATGAAATCACGATATGCCCTATTTTGTATTTATTGAATTGGGGGAGGGCAAAATATGTTTGTAATATATTTACTTTTTTTAAATCGTGTTAATTAATTGGAATTTATTTTTAATAGCTTTGCCATTTTTGCAGATTGAGAAATTTCTAAATTATAAATTATGTCACAAAGCAAAAATTATATTTGGTATCACCGTGAACTTCTCCCCTGAATGGTGAGAAACAGCTCTGACTGCTTCTCACCTGTGAACTTTTGTCAGTAGCTTCTCCCATGTCAGCGCACTGTAATGGAATAATAATGAGTGGTTACCTCACCTCAGAAGTGTCATTTTGTTTGCTAAGCTCTCTTAGCATCACATCATAATCATCACCACATGACTGTGCACTCCCAGAAAATTTATTTTGTCTCCATTGTATATCAGTTGAAGATTGAAGCAGGGCAGCCCTGGATTGCCTTATCAAGCTCCTGTTTGACAGTGAAAGTCATGGGTAGTCAATTTGGACTGTTACTGCCTTTTTGTCCCTACATTAGCTGCTGAAAATTCTTTAGTTGTCAAAACTGAGTTTGCAGTTGGTTGCACCTTTTTATTGTTTGTAGTTTTCTGTTTTATGTGCATTTAAAAGCCCTTCTTTGCTTTCGAGTAAGAAGGCATGAAGTGATCAGGAATGTTGCCGGTTATAGCTTCACGCCAAAAATATTGAGTAAACTTGCTTTTGTGTAGATGCCCACGACAATAGCAGAAGAGAGGGCAGTCTTAGGAAGTACTGGTATAGGACCGGATAATTAGCAGAAAGCACACTTTTCTTCTATTTCAGAACTAACATCCAAGCTTAAAGCTTGCTTTTCTTGTGAGTCCCCTGTTGGAAGACTATCTATCTGTAAGCCCAGAGGTATCCACTTCTAGTTTCTCTTCTAGTTATTGAAGCAGTTCTAGTCTCTTAATAGTAGGTGGGGTATTAATATGCAAAGAAAAATCAAGCAGCTTTTACGATGCTTACATGAAACCATAGCACTTGTGTTATGGTAAGGCAATACTGGAATCAACAACAAACCTTACATAAGGTCCTAATGGGGTAGACGCTAGCTTTTGTTGTAGTGTTCAGTACATAAGAAACAGTGACAGTGAAGGCTCCCTCTGTCTCTGCCGTTCTCTGGGACCATTTCTAAAGGCCAGTTAGATTGTGTTACTGTGATTTAATTTTTGAAGTTGCTGCAGTTAATGAATGCTTTGCATTCTGTGCTCTGAGAATCTGATAGTCAGCAACTGTGATCTCTGGTATCTGAAGGGAAGATGGGCTTTCTCTCCTTTGATTGTTAATGTTATTTTAGTAAAGTACTTAAGACATTGTTTGTTTCTTCTGTAAAAATGGCTTAGCAATTTCCATACTTTGGTAGGTTACACAGCTAGTCAACAATTGAGGATAGTAAATAGCAGTTACAGGTAGACCACCAAGTGACTGACTATGTTATTGTCGCATAGCTGATAAGCAAAGGTTGTTTTCTCTAGTGAGCCTACCGTGTGCAGTGTTCCTGCTTCATAAATGACAGCCGTTCCGTGTTGGCTGGCAGTGTGGTGTGTCTAGTGCCCCTCTGTGAGAAGATGATGGCTTAATGAGAATCAGAGATGGAGTTGGAAAGTTTTAGATTCCTTAAAGTTGATGTTACCATTTTTAGTGGTGTAAGGCTAAGGACAGCTAATACTTTATCTTTGCCAAATAGTTATTTATAAGATTAATCTTTTAAAGTAAACCAGACTCTCGCCTGAAGGTTAGGGATTCTCCCCTCTTGTGAGTCACACTAAAACTTTTCCAAAGCTCATTGTCAGTCCATGCTTACAATCCACACAGCAGAGTCAGTTCTTTGTTTAGGAAGGAAACCGTGTGTGCTGTATAGGTGTCCTGGGTGTATAGTTTCTTTTACGTGAAAGAACTTAGATTTCTGTTGGTCTGTTGCATGGTTTGTCATAAACTGGCATTAGAGTTGGATCACACAGAGGTGAAGCCCTTATTGTGTGCTCCTTAGATCTGACCTGCAGTTTGGCTGCGCCTTGGTGTCCTGGGCAGCAGCGGGTGGGCTGGCTTCATCTGCAGCCCCTCTCTGCAGCCGCTGCCTCCCTCTAGCTGAGTTCCGGGCGTGCTTGTGGCTTGTGCACGGGTTTGACATTGCCGAGTGGGAGGATATTAACACTAAACTATTTCATAGGTTTGGAATTCATTCGAATTTTGAAAGTATTTACTTTTTTAGACTCTTCATCTTTTCTTCTTAGAAAGATTAAGTTCTATTCTGTAGCTGACATGTGTAGGATAATCTAATAGAGTGGTTTGTTGAATGGTCAGTACAACTCTGCAGTATAATGAGGAAGTTTAGAAACACCTTTGAGTTCAGTTGGAGTGAATCCTCATTTGTATTTCTTTCATTACTGCTCCCACACTGTTGTAAAGGTTTCTTCCTATCAAAATTATTTCATGGGGAAAGTCACTTATGAAAAGTTATACATCCCCCCCCCCGATAACATAGAAAATAATTGAACCTTCCCTGGAATCAAGTAGAAAAGAAATAATGATTACTTAATATTTTGGCTTTGTTAAGTGTCCCCATATTATTTTATTCTGGTGGGAACCAAAATCACACTTTAGTTAGAGGAGTATTCTAAGTGCTGTCTTTCACAATGTGTATAATACGGTCTCTGTGAAGAGCACAGATGGAGATCTGTTAAGCAATCCCCCTGGCCAGCCAGTTAAGAAAGGAACTTCTGGGTGTTAGTCATGCCTCTTCCAACAGCCAGTGTCATTAATGCTGCAGTTGTGGATTAGGGTTAGGGAGCCGCTTGTTTCGCTCGAATCCTTTGTCTTGGTTAGCTTTTCCCTCTACACTGTGATAAGGAGCAAGTAAAATGGATGTGGCGTTTCAGAGAGAAGGCGTGGCGTGACTTTATTTACCCGTGTTCCAGAGCATCAGTAATGTGGTGAGTGGCTCCAAGAGCAGATCCCGGGTGATCTTTGGCTGGTTGATCTCGGAGGCCAGTGGGACAGCACGTTTTCTTTCCTCCCTTCCTCCCTCTGCCTGTTTGCACGCTCATCCCTGGTGCTGCAGTGTGCACACGCACACACATGAGCCGCACTCATCTTGGCCCAAGAGTGGTATAATCTTTTTTCATTGGTTTTTGTTGTTGTTCTTATGTGTTTGTTTGTTTGCTTTTTAAGCTGGGGACCACTGACCTAAGCTCTATATGCACCCCAAGCTCCCCATGGAAAACGTTTCAACACGCAGGGCGGAAGGCACCAGTGCAGCTCAAGGCTACACCCTTGTTTGTCCTTGGAGAATAGACTGATTTGCCCCCCCAAATGACTTCAGCCTGTATCACGAAGGTACGGGCGCTCCAGCGGGTTAGTGCTAACACGGTAGAGAGCTTGACACCTGCTGACAGTGTGTGCCTCTGTTCCAAAGGGTTGAATCAGTTCTTCTCAACAGTGATAGCTCTTCTCACTGTATAGTGTTGAGTATGTCTCAGGGATTCCTTGCGGAAATTAGGGCAGTTTTTAAAATAAGAAAATAGTTTTAAAAGAAACTAAAGGTGACTCATCATTGATGAGAGCTCAAGAAAGAGAAAGCATTTGGTTTCATAGCCCATGGTATCTCGCCGAGGACTTTTTCCTTTCTTCTTCAGGCTCTCATCTCAGCGTCAGCATACAGAATCCTTTCCCATCATGCACAGCTTTAAAACTTTTATTTAAAAACTTCCTTCCCCAATGAGCTTTCAGAATACTTATTGTAGATTTTAAGAGAAAAGGTATATTAATTTATGCTATTAACATCACCTCATAAATTATAAGTTTTATACTAAAGCTGTATTGAGTGTAATGAATTATGTTGCCTATGTGTTTTAATAGCTTAAAATTATATATGAGCTTCTTCTTTTTATTTTTATTTTTGACAAAACAAACTAGTAACGCACCTTTTTACACTGGATCTCTGCCGTGTCGAGGTGTATAGCTATCCTTTGCTACCTTGCAGATATATGAAGAAAAGGATAACCTGGGGCCTCAAAATGTAGAGCACCCTTAGACCATTCATTATCGTTCATAGAACTGTTGAGAGTCATGTTCTTTAGTACATGATCTGTGGTTTACACTTAACGATGGCTAGACGCTTAGTTACAGGGTAAATAGAAGCAAATTGATCCAGTAAAACTCCCACTACTGTAGCTGGAATTTTCAAACTAAGTTTTTAAGACCTCTGTTATTTCCTATGGATTTATTCTTTAATTTACAGTTTATTCTGTAAGTTAAGAAGTAAAATAGAGATATTAATAAACCTAGATGTTCTCAGTGTCTCATTCAGGAACGTTTTCCCCTCCTCACTAAGGAATTCCCACTGTGACTTAAAAAAGTAAAGGTAAATTACTTGTGTGCATGTATGTGTCTGTGTTTTTACACACATGCAAAAATATACATCGGGGGCACGTGTGTGAGATATGAATGTGTGCTTGTATAAAAATAGAAAGGTAACCGAATGTATTATAGAAATATGATTTATTTAGCTGAAGGTATCACAGTTACTTTCCCATTGTTTCTCCTTTATAACGATGCCATATTCTTTGCTATGTTATGTTCAAAGGCTAGCTCTGATATCATGTGCATTTTCCTTTAACCTTTGAATTAACTTAAGGTGTTTTTAAAGTGACATGAGAAAAAGCAGATTCTAAGACCAGCCTCATCCTTATGAGCATAAAAATAAGAGACAGACCTAGATAACAGCTTGTTTATCTTTCGAGGTGATGGCACCACAGATGGGACCATAGCATCTCCCTGTTCTTTATATTCCAAGTAATAAAGTATTATGATGATTTCTTGGTCAAATTCAGAAAACATAGGCCTTGGTCAGGAGGCATTTGAAGGGGCTGCTTGTTTTAGGAGTTGGTGGCTCATTTCACTGTGCATATTTCAAAGCTAGTGTGATTTTAGTTCTTTCTAAACATCCTTTAGAACCGGGTTGTGTGGTGCGTAGCACCGCAGCTCCAATCCTTTGGCTGTCGGTAAAATCCTGCTCCCCTTGATGCTTACCTGATTCATGTAGAACTAAACAGAAAGGTACATTCCTGTACTTTGAGCTTTGTCACTTACTGAAGCATCTGATGGTCTGAGACAGTCAACTAGAGCCACGTGTTCCCATCATTATAAAACTCATATGCTTCGGAATATGTCAGAACAACTCCCAAGAACAGATTTGACTGGTCGTTGTCTTTGAGGCCTCAATTACTTCATCTTAGATTCAGTCAAAACCTGGGTAAGCTTTCTGTGTTGTTTTTTACAATTGTATTTTTATAGCATCTCCCTGTTTCATTCACTTTTGCTTTTGGATTTTAAGAAATCTGCCTATTTCTTGTACATATGCATGCAAATGAAAGGAGGGAGTTTGTACTGATGTCATTTCTCCCTTCAGTTGCTGGTTAACGGAATTTGCTAGAATCAGTTCCCCCTCATCGAAAGGTGAGAACAGACCCTTTGTGTATATCTGTACAGAGATGTGTATATGGGATGTGGTGGCACTTTGCTGAATGTGAACTTGCCTTGTTAATGGAAAGATTAAAAAGTATTATGTTTATTTATACATTTGTATAAATCTATATATACACGTATGTATATGTGTGTGTATAGATAAAGCTATATACATATATTTCCCTAAAAATGTGTGTGTGTAATAGATTTACAGCCTTTGCTAAGTAAGATTATGCATCTGTGGGAAATTCTGGATTATTCCGCAAGCCGGTGAAAGTGACAACAGTCTAGAGTACATCATCAAACATACTGAAATGAAAATCTTTGGATTGCAGTCACAAATGACAGACTACGTTGGTCACAGATGAATTTCTTCTTTCTCACCAGTTGCACTATCCCTCAGACTGCTAGCTAGTCTCTCATTGCTTAGCAGTCACCGTCTTGTTGAGTCTTGTGTTGTCCCAGTACTGGAGATGGACTCCCTAGGGTGGCCTTGCAGGGCCCCTGCTGAGCCACTTCGTGTCCCCCCCCCCCCACTGCCTTCTCCCAACTTAGTTCTCTCGCTAGAAGCCTTGGCATAAATACCTTGACTGTTGCTTTCACATTCCTTGATCACTGGCAGTCCCCACAGTATACAGCTTTCAGTCATATCTTCTTTGAGAATTGGGTAGTCATCAAAAAAGCCAACATTCAGACTATTCATTTTGATTTGTTTTTTTAACCTAGGGAACTTTGGAGTATTTTACTTAAAGTGAAGAAAAAAACCCACATAATTATGACTCGATGATTGATAGTAGTGTTAGGTATATTTCCACCCTTATTATCATTTAAATAGTTTGATTTGCTTTGTGTCTTAAATATAAATTTACCATTTGAATTTTAACAAGTATACAAAGTCATGCGGAGGCCTCCTGAATTCTGACTCATGTTTCTCATGTTGAAATGCTCTAATGAGTTCTCGTGTAATGAATTCTGCTAGATTTCCTTTTTACTTTCCTCACTGTTGTGACATTCAGTTTTAACTCTGCCACAGTTCTCTAGAAAACTTGTACCCTTATCGTGCCTTTAAAGCTCTTATGCACACACAGATGAAGTGTATATACATACATGTTGGCGCATGTGTACATATACTTTGGTATATGCTCACACAGTATGTCTCCAGGATATACTGTGGGAGTGGACATAGAGATATTCAAAGGCAATGGAATGTTGCTCTCTAGATATATATGTATATAAGTGTTGATATAACTGTACATACACATGTATATGTATGAGTTCTAAATGGCAATCTTTTACATTTAGCAAAATGCTGCCCTACTGGAATATTGCCACTGCAATGGCAGTTATATGTAATGATTTAAAATACATTATCAAAAATTATTTAAAGAACATTTAAAGGTCTCATCTAAAGACAGCCTCAGGCTATTTATTTAGCTTCCTGTTCATTTTATTGTTATGTTTGTATAACTGAAAGGGAGACTGTCATTTTAAAAATAGCCTCTGCACAGAAGAGACGAGATTCATTTGGGGCTCTTTGCATCTCCCCCCTCTCTCTGAAACAGTGACATACCACAGTCTAGCTTGTTGATTTCCGTTTCAGAGCAATCCCAACATCTCCTTGATCAACTTAACTCACCAGTTTGCCTCTTCCTTTCATTAATGAGTAATGCTCATTTCGATCGTGTTGTCTGAGGGAAGCTGACCCCTCTCTTGCTGCAAGGACTTAGATCATCTAGCTGTTTCTCTGCCTTGTTCATAATTCACCTCGGGAAGAAGACTGTTCTCATGATGCTGTCTTAAGCAAGAGTTTATTTTGCATAGTTTGATTTATTTGAAGATCTTAAATTCTTTTGTTGAAAGAGCTCTTAACTCTTAGGGCGCATGCACTTGGCATATATTTAATTCTTACTGCCCTTCCCCGCAAGGTATCTTTTTCATTCGTCTATCAGTTTTCCATAGTGAATGCAAGAACATTAAGTCAAAACTGCTAAATACTGTTTTGGTTTGAGATGAGCTGGCAGCAGATCACACCTGGAAAATTAAGGGAGAGAAAGGTAGATGGATAGATAACCCTAAACGCTGTGTCAGGTGGGGAGCGGAGTGAGGGTATTCCTAAGGAAACAGCTTTCACAGAGTAGCTCGCTCGCTGGAGCTGATATCAGAACAGCCTTTAACAAAAAGCCTCTTGGCAGATGTATGGTACTAACCAGAGTGCCCAATTGTAAATTAAAACCAAGTTGCAGTGGGAAATCAAAGGTGAGGTAGCCATTGGAAACCAGCAAAGGACAGGCAGGATGGAGAGTTTGCAAACGTCTTTTTCAAAGTAGCTGCACGGTAGCAAGGACAAGCATACTGAGAGCTCTTCTTTTCAGCGTTCTCTTTCACCTTGGCACACAGTATGCTTCATATGCCATACATTCAGAGCACGGACAGGAGGGCAGCTGCTTAAAGGGGACTTACAAACCAAGCGTCTTCTCTCACGTCTGTGTCACGGCCACCACGTAGTTCCAGGCACGCACACTGGGAGCAGCTATTCTGCAGAGCGTAGAGGAGGCCTGCAGGGTTTGGAAAGGCCTATCCGTGGCGCTGGCTGTGGTTTTGCTGGGGAAGACACATTTGGGGAGATGAGGGACTTTTGGTTTGTGATTTCCCTTTAAACAGGAAGAGGTGGTTCACATTTTCCATATATATATCTCAATGAATGTACTGTATTACTGTTTTAAAACTTTGATGAAATAATAATGGATTGGTCTCCTTTTGTTATCTGGTCCTTGTTTAATTTGTTTAAGGGTTTTTGTATACAAAAGTTTACATTTTTATGTATATTTTTCTTGTGTAAAAACTGATGTAATATGTGTATAAAACACTGTATGTATTATCTGTATATAGTGTGACAAAATGATTTTTCTTTCTTTCTTTTGGATGTATTAATAAATCTTGCTGTGAAGTAGCCTTGCTTTTGCCAGTTATTTCCTTGCCTGTGATGGGATCTCCTGGTGCAGGGTAAGTAATTCCCTTCTTTGTTTCTGGTCTCTGAGTCAGGGTCTGTCTGCTTCCCAGACAGGCCTGCCACGCAGTGGGCCAGGCTGTTCTTAGAGTTGCAATTCTTTGCCTCAACCTCCCACACTCCACCAGGGAGCTGCTATGCCCAGTTAAGTTTTATTTTTATGAGACAAAATTTTACCTTGTACCTCTGGCTGACATGGAATACACCGTAGTTCAAGCTGGCCTTTGGCTTGAGGATGGTCCTTCTGTCTCTGCCAGCCAAGGAGAGGGATTACAGACATAGGCCATCAAACTTAGCTCCCCCTTTCTTAAATATGTTGTTTTCAGTCGTCTATTTTATCAGCAGTTCTAGGGAGATATATATTCATGATCTTTATAGCTAGCCTAACAAGTTAGGACCAAATAGACTTCAGATATATATATATATATATACACCCAACCACAAGCTGAGTTTGAAACCACTGTATGTTGCAATGGGATTGTTACGATCCAAATCTATTTCATTTAACCAGAAGCCATTTCTCCCAATTTTTTTTCTTCCATTTCTTGGTCTTTTATGTCTCCCAAGCTGGTGATAAACTAATGATTTTCCTTCCTCAGTTTCCAAATGCTACTGTCACACACTCGTATCAATTTGCCTGTCCCTTCCTTCATGTTTATAGCTTCAAAAAATACAGTGACAATTTCATGCTATGTGCCCTTCATTGCTGAAGGAAACTTTGAGTTATTCTGTGGGACACATAAAGGTCCCAAACCAGAATACTAACCTCACAGTCACATGTTCACTTCATGGACATGCACATGCATGTATAATTAGAATTTGGTTTCTAATCAATGTGTGCTTAAGGCATATTCTAAAACTTCACTTCCCTAAAAGCAGTAATGTTTTTTTCAGACCAAAAGCACCAACAGTGCTCAGGGTATCAGTATAGTAACCAACATGAGAAAGTCACATTTGTTGGGACCTAGAGAATTATGCTCAGCAGTGCACTGTGTATGTCTTCAGCTTGTATGGCTGATTAAAACCTGCTTTTTTACTCAGGATGCTTTGTGTGTGTGTGTGTGTGTGTGTGTGTGTGTGTGTGTGTGTGTGTGTGTGTGTGTGTGTGTGTGTCTGGGGTTTGAACCATCCCAGAGCTTCCCATGTGATAGCCAGTGCCTTACCAGCGAGCTGTATTTCCACCCAGCTGCTGCTCTTCTCTTGCAAGTCCTGGAACTAATGGACTTAGATTTTAAAATGAACTATAGCCATAGAAAGCAAGTCTGATGCAATTTCTGAGTTGAGGCTACGCTGTTGACAGTGCTGAGATCCCCGGCGTTGCGTGTGAAAGCAAGAAGACTTAGTGGTGGGGTGGCAGCTCCTTGGAGACTGGCACAGAAGATTCTAAGCTTGACTGAGTCTAGCCTGAGTACACTGAGAACTCATCTTAAAGAAAAGACTCAAACTGATAATGATGCTAGGGACAAAGGAGAGGCATCAAAAGACTCACACCTGAGTTCCTAGCTGTGGAAGTCAGAGGATACAGAGCTTGAGCTGGAAATAATAGAGCAGGTGGCCAAATGACAGCTGAAACTTGGCTCAAATGAGAGGTGTGAGTTAAGGATACAGATGGGGAAGTAATGGCAATAGACTTCTAGTTGGCTGGCTATAAGAGAGCAGGGATGGAAGGTGAGGATAGCCATTTGGTTTAACTTCATTTTTTTTTTTTCATTTTGGACTTTTCGAGACCGGGTTTCTCTGGTTTTGGAGGCTGTCCTGGAACTAGTTCTTGTAGACCAGGCTGGTCTCAGACTCACAGAGATCCGCCCGCTTCTACCTCCCAGGTGCTGGGATTAAAGGCGTGTGCCACCACCGCCCAGTGATTTAACTTCATTTTAAAAATAGTATTTTTTTTGAGAATTTCATATTCACACATAACTCCTTTTGCCCCTTCCCCAAGTGCATGACTTTGTTTTAAATAGCCCAGCCTTCTAATTTGTGCTGCCCCATTTACTCCTGGGTGTGGGACTATCCACTGGAATATGGTCAATTACTAGGAGTTATATCATTAAAGAAAGCTCTTTCCCTAGAAGCCAGCAACTGTCCTTAGCTCCCCAGTTTAGGGGTGGCTCATGAGCCCCTTCCAACTCCATGCTAGAAAGTTAACTGGTTTGGTCCTGGACAGGCTATTGTCCAGGGTTAACTGTCCAGGATCAAACCAGTTAACCCTTATTGTCTTATTGTCTCAGAGCCATCGCTTCTGCATTGATCCTGAGCTTTGGAGAAGGGGTGTAAGAAGTCCCACTTGTGGCTGGGCACCCCACTGGCACTTATCCTCTGTGTTTGACTAGTGGTGAGTTTCTGTTTTGAGCACCATCCGCTGCAGCGAGAAACATCTCTGCTGAGGTCTAGGAGCCTCACTAATCTGTAAGTAGAAAGATAAAAAGTTTAGAGAACAGTTTGATACTCTGTTCAATTGCAAAATAATGGCTCAAAGATCTCAATGTTAGACCCAAACTTTCTACAAGAGTAGGGTATGTACTTCAAGTAGAGGCTCAGTAAGGAACTTCTGAATGGGACACTGGTCATTTGGGAAGTAAGCAACCAATAAGTGGAACTTGATGGAATTAACAAGCTTCTGTACCACAGAGGACATTGTTCATCAACTAAAGAGGCAGCCTACAGAACAGGAAAAAACTTTTCACAGCTCTATTCCCAACAGAATTCATGTCTAGAACAAAAAGGCATGTAAAAACCAGAATACCAAGAAAACTCAATGAGAAAATGGACATGGTACTTCATTTATTTTCATTTATAGTCCTGAAAAATAACTTGAGTAATCTTAACTTGAGTAATCTCCCCTCAAGTCTTCTGCCTTGTAAATTATGGAGCTGGCATTAAATTCTACCAGGCTGCCTGCCTTTTCCAACACTCCCATTGAAGTGATAGTATTTAAGAAAACAGCCCCCTCTTACCCTTGCCTTGGGGGACCTGAGGGCATGCGCTGCTTACTCCCCATACTCCACTGCAATGACCACTTGCTTTTTGGACACTATGCACACGCATAGTTTCTGTGTGCTTGTTTATCACCCATACCCAGTAAATGTTACTAGATGTAAGTCGTGTACTGAAGAAGTTGATAAACACAAGGACTGCAGACTTGAGACTGGGAGAGGAGACTCCATAGGAGGTGGTGTTAAGCTTTGACTATGAACCATCCCCAGAGCTCCCTGTTTTTCTTGATCCCCAGCTAGTGATGCTATTTGCGAGACAGAAACTTGAGACTGTGGAGCCCAGCTAGAGGAAGGTCAGTGGGTACCTTGTAAGGTTATACCTAGCCCCCAGTCCCTGTTTTGTTGTGCTCCCTGTATCAGGAATTCTAATTGGTCTTAATAATAAAAATCTGGAGTCAGATATTAGGGGGTGAATGCTGAAATATCAGAGAAGCAGAGTGGCCAACCACTAGAGTTTGTACCTCTGTGAAATCCTCAGACTGAAAGGAGACCCAACTCCTGTCTCCTCCTGCCTTATATTCTACTTTCTGCCTGGCCATATTACTTCCTGTCTGTCAGTACAGACCTCCAGACCGCTATGGCTAACTAGTGGCTAGCTCTGCCCTCTGATCTTTAGGAAATTTTTATTTGTAGAGTACAAACAAGATAAATCCACACTCCCCCTCTACCCAGCACACCCATATATTCTGCAAGATATATATGCACACACACACACACACACACACACACACACACACACACACACACTATTGGAATGACTTACAGGCTGCAGTCTATCTAATGCAACAATGGCTGGCTGTGAATGGAAAGTCCAAGAATCCAGTAGTTGCTTAGTCTACAAGGCTGGATGTCTCATGTCTCAACTGGTCTTCAGTATATGTTAGAATTCTGAAGGAGTAGGCTTGAATGCCAGTGAATGAATGGATGTACTGGCAAGGCGAGGGCAAAGAGCAAAAGCTTCCTTCTTCTATGTACTTACATAGGCTTCCAGAAGAGTGCAGGGCACCAATTACTGGCTTCCCTCCACAAGATCTGGATCAAAGGTGCCTTCCTACCTCAAAGGTCTGGACTAGAAGTGGATTCACACACTTCAGGTCTAGCAGAAAATCTCACAGGTGTGCCCTCCATTTCTGGATTGTAGTTCATTCCAGATGTAGTAAACCTGACAATCAAGAACAGCCATTGGTTTGTCCTGCCTCATTAGTCTCTTAGTCCTTGCTTACAGGACAGGAATATTTGCCCTGTGCCCTGGTGTCTTGGAAATAATAGAACTTTTTAACAAAAATTTTCCAGGGGCTCACAGCTAAGAGTTGACCTTGAATTTCAGAAGAGACTTTGGGTTTGGACCTTTGAACAGTTTTGGGACCGTTTCCCTCCTGTCCTGGTTTATATCTTCTGTTGAATAAAATAGTGTAACCATCACTCCACAGCGTTCCAAGATCCAATCCCTCTTTCCTCAAACTCCCCATGTACCCTATTAGATTAGCTCTTCAAGACAGTCCTGAATGCGGCAAGGAGAATCTTACAATTTCTGAACTGGGCATCTATTAATCCATTATCTTACTGCTACCCTGTCAAAAGGTCCTCTCTTTCTCCTTCTCCCTCCCTCCCTCCCTCCCTCCCTCCCTCCCTCCCTCCCTCCCTCCCTCCCTCCCTCCCTCCCTCCCTCCCTCTCCTTGAACTTACAGAGGTTGCCTGCCTCTGCCTTCCAAGTGCTGAGATTAAAGGTGTGTGCTACCACAGCTGGCTTATGGGATGGCTTTCAAGGACCCGTCCCCTCAACTTCCACACCGTCTCTTATCACCTCTTTGAACACAATTTCCTCACGTAATTATCAACCACAGTCCTGTCGAGTCACACTTCTCTGCATGCACTTCTGAGTACATACCTACTATGTGCTGGGGCCCTGGGACAGTGAAACCTGTGCATAGCTTCCCTGGGCACTTACAA